ACCATTCACTCCTTGCTCTACTGGATGGACTTGTGGTGGAATTAGAGCTACTGGTCGAGGACCATTAACCATGGGATGTGGCTGGGCACCTCTTTCTGGTTGACCAATTTGTTGAGGAGGAAATTGGTCCACGGGTCTATCATTTTGGTTTTCTAACCTAGGCGGCTGAGCAATAACCTGTCTATCAATACGAGTCACTAAGGCATTAATCACCTCATTCAGTTGTTGGAGCTGAGTATTAGTCATATGGGATGAAGCCACCAATAGCTCCATATTTTTGTTGATTTCCCAAGCGACTTGGCATTGAGAAGCCTTCACTCTACTTTTAAATCGTGTCACCATATTGCTGACACTTTCGACCGCCATTTGGTGGTTGGCCTGATGTCCCTCTTCATGCTCAGACCAGGAATCTTGCATGATGGGAGCAGGCTGATTTTCTTCCTGATCTTCCCTTTGAGGGTTAGCTTGTCCAGCTGAAGTCTGAGTCTGTGACCTAGTCTCGACGACCATTCACGAATAAAACACTCGTCCCACCGGGCGTGCCAAAGTTGTTTGGCTCACAAAGTGGTCTGAGGTCGCTAGCCAATGAATGGCTGACCTAGAACGCGGGCGTGCCAGAGTCCTGATGGACTCGAATATTTCTTGCCAAACTATTCCTATTGGGTCGGGTCACCGACCTAAGGTGATTCAGGCGAAAGTTGGAGAGTAAGAATGATCCTCTCCTTAAGGTTGCTATTGCCTTTAAGAAATGACTTTAAACATTTAAGATGAGTATCAATTAGAAACAACTTAAACTGAACAATAAATATACCTGAATCTGCAAACCTTTCTTCATTGAACTTGACTGATTACAATGATGAATGAATTACAAACTCTTGATTGAAATGGAAACTAAAGTATTGAATGCTGAAAGATAAACTAAGTACTAAACTGATAGTGCTAAGCTGAACTTGCTGAAATAAAAACTAAGTGATAAACTGAACTTGATGAAATAAAAGCTAAGTGCTAAGTGATATGAATGCTAAAGGTTGAACTTTTAGAAATGGTCTTGGACCCCCTCCTTGTAAGCCTTGAGTGGGTATTTATAGAAGCCTCCATCTAGTGTTGTCCCTTTCAACCGTTTCTCTAGAAATTGATTGGTTATAAGTTGAAAGTGATTTTACCTAACCACCTTGCTGAGCTGGTCAGGTTGACTGATTTGCACATCCCTCTATAGGCAGGTACAAATATGTCTGACATAGTATTTTTGACTAGATGGTGCATATTCTTTCATGCTTGATGATTTTGGTCTTCAAGCCATTTTTAGCTTTATGCACCTGTCATGTTTGGCTTGATCTGTACACTGGCTTGGCATCATCTGATTACTGACAAATCTGACTTTCTTCATCAAATGTAGGTGAGAACCTTCCATCTGGGGTTCTAAATCTCTGGACCTCTGACATGGTCAAGTTGTCCTTTTCTATTTCAAGCTCTTTTCACATTTTTAGACCTGACTTGTTGGGTTCTTAAATCATTGGGATTCACAGCCGATCTTCATTTGAATTACCCCAAAGATTCTTCAAGTGATTATGACCCGAGACCCCTGATGATAACCATATTTGGTCATGAGTCTTGATCATGGCCATAGTGACTAAAAATCTTGGTTAAGATTCATGATCATAACCATTATAACCGAGAGTCTTATGATCATTGTGACCGAGAGAAATAACGGTCGAGACTCTTGATCATGGCTGGGTATGAGTCTTTGGAAAGATTTTGGATCGTGACCATTATGACTGAGAGTCTCATGACCATGACCGTTGTGACTGAGAGTATTTTGGCCTAAACTCATGACCATGAGACTGAGACTCTCATAACCATAGTGACAGATAGGATTTTGACTGAAAACTCATGATCATGACCATTGAGACTGAAAGTCATAACCATAGTGACTGAGAAGGTTTTGGCCTAAACTCATGACCATGAGATCGAGAGGATTTTCGCCTAAGTTCATGACCATAGTAACTGAGAAGATTTTGGCCTAAAACTCATAACCATGACCATTGAGACTGAAAGTCATAACCATAGTGACTGAGAAGGTTTTGGCCTAAACTCATGACCATGAGACTGAGACTCTCATGATCATAGTGACTGAGAATATTTTGGCCTAAAACTCATGGTCATGAAGACTGAGAGGATTTTCGCCGAAGTTCATGACCATAGTGACTGAGAAGATTTTAGCCTAAAACTCATGATCATGAAGACTGAGAGGATTTTCGCCTAAGTTCATGACCATAGTGACTGAGAAGATTTTGGCCTAAAACTCATGACCATGACCATTGAGACTGAAAGTCATAACCATAGTGACTGAGAAAGTTTTGGCCTAAACTCATGACCATGAGACTGAAACTCTCATGATCATAGTGATTGAGAAGATTTTGGCCTAAAACTCATGATCATGAAGACTGAGAGGATTTTCGCCTAAGACTCATGATCATGAAGACTGAGAGGATTTTCGCCTAAGTTCATGACCATAGTGACTGAGAAGATTTTGGCATAAAACTCATGACCATGAGACCGAGAGTCTCAATCATGGCCGGTTATGAGCTCAAAACCTCATCTCAGTCTTAATGGCCTAAAAATTCCACTCTTCTTAATTCTCAATCTTAAATCTGATCACCATGATTAGAAATTAATCTTCCGCCCCGACGATCATGGGTTGACCCAAAATTCCGACCTTGTAATTTCTGACCACGTGGCATGATTGCCTCGAATTATATTTTAGGTGTTAACAGTAATAAGTACATGATACTACTTAGAATGTGTTGTGTTGGAATATGGGGAAACCCTCACGCAATTACAACTCGTCCACTAGGGATAATTTAGGGGTTTAAAGGCTTGTTGCACAAGCTAAATGTAACCGTGATTCCCACGAAAGCAGCTTTTTAATTCAATTTTTATTATTTTTTTATACTTTAAAAAGGTCTAATGATGTATTTTCATTCAAAAATTTAATCTTTACTCATTAAAACACTTTTGTGATGTCAAAGGGAAACATTTCAAATTAGTGCCTTAATTACTGATAAACTCAGTCAAGCCTATTTTCATATCATAATATTCAAACAATGCATCAATCGGTTATGTATCTACGTAACAATAGTACATAATGCACAAAGAGACAATGTAATGAAACATAATCATTTAAATATAGAAATTTCACGGATCTAAAAAACCCAGATAGAGGAACATTACTATATAGACACACACAGCGAATCGCACATTGTGTGTGTTGCATGCATACCTCGAGGAAAGCAAAGGGTCAGAAGAAGTCCGTCTCCTTCTCTCTCTTCCCCTCCCATCTCTATTCTCTTTCTTCTTTCTCCTCCCCTGTCCCTCTTTATCTGTCTTGCTCTATCTCTCTACATCTGTGTGTGTATTACTCCGTATAATATTATATGGGGTAAACTGCAAAAACACCCCTGAATTTTACTCTCTCTCAAGAAACCCATACGTGTGTATGCATAGGATAAAAATAACCCTATGAAATCTGCCAAAGGAGGGTATTCATGTAATTTATCATATCCTTCCTGCCACTACGAGAACCAACTTCGCTGCCATCCCTAACCCTAAACGCCGCCACTGCCGCAAGAGACCAACCATACCGCCATGCCCACCCCTACAACCGCCACCACCAACACTTTGTACAATCAACAACTCTCTATCTCCCTCATCCCATCTCTGTACAAATGTGTGACAAGGCGATGAATCGGTGAGAGGTGGCGCTGGACGTCGCGAGAGAAAATGGCGAGGCAGCGTTGGTCGGTATAGGGAGGAAGACGAAGGAGTTAAAGAGTGACGGCGGCGGGGGACTCGATTTTGGCCTCCGCGAGGTGCAGCCTCCGCATTTTGGTTCTGGTTCTCCGCGGATCAGCGCGTGTGCGTTCGACGGAGATAATGGTGGTTATGGGGTTGGAGAAGGTGGTGGTGGTGCCGTTGTTGGATGTTGGATGGGGATGGTGGTGGTGGTTATGGGGATAGTGGGAATGGCAACACCGCATCTGTGCTAGTGGTGGTGCCGCCACGGCTGGTTCAGAGGAGAGGGCATGACAGAGATGATGCGATATTATTGGATGACAGAGGGTAGGTCTGGTTTCAACCACTCTCCGGGGGGCCCGTTCCGTTCCCCTTTTCTGTCCGTTTTGTTTTCTTTTCCTCACTTCATTATGGAATTCCATTTTGAAAGCAACCAACCCCACCCCCAACCCCCCCGGTGCGGCGGCGCCACACATTGAATAATTACATTGACATATGCCAAACATGTTAACAAGTGAATTTTATTCTCATATACATATACTATCTTCTTCTTGTCACGTCAAAAGGCCAAGCTGAATAAAAAGTAGAAAGACCATTATAACCATTATATGTATCACTATTTCTTCTTTCATACCATTTTCTCTAAAGGATAAATATCCCTGCACTGCCCTGGGTCTCTCTCTCTCTCTCTAAAGCTCTTGCCTCTCTGCAAATGCTCGAAGGTATACCTTTTTCGGTTAGGCTTAGTGGGAGAGGGGCAGGGCTAAGGAAGTTGACGTTGAGCGTCTCCTGGATTCACACACAAACACACAGTATTCACATACTGTTGACAATATGGTCAATTGGAACTCTATTTTGCATGTTCCATTTTCCATGTCGAGTTTAATATATAATATCCCCACACATTCACGGATCTCTGTGTTAGTCATGAGAAGAAGGCAACATTCTTGGCCACACTCATGACCTCTGTTTCATTCAGCAAAATACCCCCTAAACTATCAACCCAATACCCACTACTGTTAAACAAGTGCCAAACTGCACCCCCAAAACCTAACAGCCATCCAGTATAATCAATTATATATATATATATATATATATATATATATATATCACTCAACAATCAAGACTCAAGACACATTCAGCCGAGCGATCACCATAAGAACATCACATGCTGATTGAGCTAACAGAGATAATGATATAACAAGAGATTGCAAAGTTCCACCAAGAAAAAACAGATTTAACGAGTTAGGGCAATGCGACGCGCAGGTTTCGCACAATCATATATCGACGTACAGCATCCAACTTGATGAACATCAATCTCATCTTTACACGGTAGCAAATTCAATCACGTAAGAAGACGGAATCTATCTTGTCAACAACCACAAATCATTTTCAGTTTCCTAAAATTGTAACATTTTGCTAGATAAAACAGCTCAAGAGCCTGTTGAGCTTCCTCAACCAGAATCCATGAAGCAAAAGAGAGTTTTTAAGCAAACTAAGAACTATACAACCACAAACAAAAACTATATGTACCTTAGAATCCAACTAACCAAAGAACTCTTGCTTTGTATCCACAAAAGTAAGAAGCGCAAAGAAAGTTTATTGAAATCATTTTCTGCAGAGTCAATCAATCAGCTGACAAGGGCCGAGTCCGAGGAACCAGATGAGCCACCTACTTCACCTGCCAACTTCTTCAATTTCAAAGATGCAGCTGCCTTGCTAGAAGACCCCGGTTCTGAGACATCAACAGATTTTGAGCTGCCTGGGATATCTTCATCAGAATCCACAGTGTACATCTGTACAACAGAAACAATCAGCTTCTTATGATGATCAGAATTAAATCTGAAAATATTATAAAATGTTAACGCTCTACCTGCAACTTTATTCTCATTTAAAAATAAATAAAAAATTCAATACTTTATAAAGGTCAAACTAATATCCATAATTTATTTGTTATTTGCAGTGAGATTTAATGCCAGATCCAATGCTGGAAAACATTTACAGCTCCAATGCTCCAACCCTGCGACCGGCCTTTTGTTTTTTTTTATACGTTAGTTGCTTTGAGGAAAAAGATGAAAATGTATAAATATTAAACATCGTAAAAAATAATATTCTACCTACAAGTAGAATGAACAGTATTAAACACCCCTATCGCTAAATACTTATTATATAACAAATATTGCATGTATATATGCACATATATCTCTAGGCAGTACTCAACTTTTTAATACATTTCAAGTCGAGTCTCCATAATTAAGATTTCAGAATTCCAGGAGATCAAACACTTGCATTCACACCCGATACAATTACAAGGATATGGGTATCGATGTATTTAAAACTTTTTTCCATTCTTCCAATCCAAGGTTTCATTTGTTTCTATATAAACATCACTAGACAATTAAGAATGTGAAATTGGCCTCAAACAGGAATAATCATGGTGAATGCAGATGAGATAACTCTCTTCACGGTGGTCAATAATAAAGATAAGACTTCAACCCAAATTCATATAAAGAATATTACCCCTATAACAAAAATAAAATGTATGAGGGAAACGGATTTTGAACCGGGGAAAAAAAAAAAGGCTGCTAGGAAGACAAGCACACACAACCATAGGAACCGTTTTCCCATTAAATTAATGGCACCTCAGGGTGAGTTTGGAACACCCAGGGAAAATGATCACTAGTGACCAACAAGGAAGACGTCTAATGGTCCAGAATGTATGCTAATCATGCAGTGGTGCATATCTCCTAGTCAATGTATTTAAATTTTTATCCGTCAATTATTTTAATTATCAATCACAGTGTCCAAAATGAATCCCCTTCCAGAAAACACAGAAAATTTTGTCCAAAATGAATCCCTTATACATATAACATGACCAATAGACATATTCGTCTAATTATATATGCATATATAGCTAGGAAACATAACTTCCAGGAAATACTTATCTAATTTTTTTTTTCAAATGGGTCCAAATTACTTTCATGAAAAGCTGGGAGTAGATGCTTTTTCCAAACCATCTCATTGGTGCTGCCTAATGACATCCATATACCCAGCAGAGTAACAACTATTATGTCTGATAGATATTATTCAGATTCCGAGATGAATCTTGAAAAGATTGAATGATAATATAAAGGATATATATATATATATATATAAGAAATTCTGATAATTTTTTCTAACCAAAGAATAAAAATAGAACAAAATATATGAGCAAAATTGGTAATTCAGCCAACATTTGAAATTTATTTTATTTTATTTTATTTTATGAAATATCAAAATTTAGATTTTTTTTTTTTTTTTTTTTTTTTCTGACTATTGTGCTTTGGCTTAAAGAGTTTCATCAGAAACTTTTAGAAGATAAATCACATGTTTAAGCAAGCACCAAAATGAATTCTACCAGCGACAACAAAATTTTCTTCCATCCAAATTTTCATTAAATATGATGCTTCCACTTCAAAGTTCTACTAACTATAATATCAAAGGAAGAAAGAAAATTTAAAAAGACTTCTCTAACAAATTAGATGAACCAAAAGTGATAAACACCAATTTGCAAATAATCTACTCTTTTACAATATTAGAGGGGCAAAAATAGATGACATCAAACAGGGTTCTCTAGTGATTAAGATTAACTGGTTACATATATAATCCAACAAAAGAATTGCAGAAATCTACAAACAAAGTATAAGGAACAGGCATAGAAATTCAAGGCACAAGTCGATTTTCAAGAATGAGAAAAACAAAACTAAAATCAAAACCTCAATAAGTTAGAAATGAAACATGGAGCCTGCAATTTGAAGCAATTATCAAGAAAAAAAAAAGCCCAAGGGAAAAATAAAAAACAATTGGTAAAGAAAAAATCCTCCTGTGTCTCAAGTTTATTAAAATTGGGATCCTACATTGGAACGATTTGGGGTCCTCAAGATTGGATCGAGAATTGTAAGATTCTACAATGTGAGAAAGAATACTAAAATATTTGTACATTAAAAAAAGCCCCAAGACTCATGAATAAAAATATAAAAGAATTAGGCAAGTATTTAAAGCACATAAACCTCCAACTCTCCCTAATAATTTTGGAGCACATTATCCCTCACATGGATAAACAAAATACTTGTATAAAAAATGGCTGATATATAAAACTAATTATGATAGCACATTACCAATATCAGATTTAAAATATAAAATTAAAAAAATCATTTACGATCATACATTATATGAAAATCTTTTTAAATATACAAAAGTAAGTACTAAAGATTTGAATAGATGAAAGATTGACAGGTTTGAAGCAAACTTATTGAGCTGCAAAGAGAAATAGATGGAGATTGAACTCAATTGGTTGAATTGTTTTTAAAGCAAAAATTTGTCCACCTTCTGTGTTACATATAACAGTATAATGACCAACCAAAAGAAAAAATTTAAAAAAGGGGGAAACAAAAATTTAAATAGTGATCAATTCAGTAGTTTGGATCGTAAAAACGTAGGTTAAGACCCAAATCGTGATTTTTATAACCATGCTGATTCTTCAGAAAGTTAAATCAGTTTAATCCTGATTACAGAAAAGAGTATTTAACATGACCTCTTTATTGAAGCATTACACACTTCACCTTCTAGTAAAACAACAGTAGGATGCTTAATAACAGGACAGGTGATGTCATGTCAGATTGACAGGTAATAAAATTTAAGGTGAGAAGTCTCAGAAACCAAATCAAAAGAAACAGTAAACAAGTCCCACTTTGATCACAATATTTGTTGACTGTAGCATTTTCAGTGAGGTCAAGATTTAACAGATAATAAGCTCTACCTCAAGATGATTCAACATGTCAACTGTGGCCTCCAAATCACCGTTGTTTGCCAAATAGACATCAGAAAGAGACTCATCAGATATGCCAGGAAATGTCATTTGGAGATATGCCAATCCCATGTCAAACTCCTCATCTAGGATCTGCTTTTCTATCATCTCACTCGGGTTATGTGATAATGAACCATACGAAGCACTAGCAGAATGGGCCGTCAGTTTAGAGTCCAATATTCCATAGGCATCATAGTTTTGAGAAACTTTGCTCTGGAGCTGGTTTTGTGTTGTATCCTCAGAATGAAGTCCCAACCAGATGGTCTCATTGCCATTCTTAGAGTGTTCTGCTGTCAACTTATAATCCTTGTTTCCATCAGGTGCCCCTCTTTGGGAGAGTGGTATGTACGATGCTGCATAGGGATTCAAAGAAGATGTTCCAGTCTTCATTGCCCCAGTTTATATACAGACAACTGCTGAAAGGCTTCAAAAACAGAAAAGTCTACCTTAGCAGGTGTAATAAATCCACTGAATAATCTATTTTAAACTCCATAAGTTTTGAGACTAAATAAAAAAATGCAAAGTGTCTCCCATAAGGTTGGATCTGCTAAAGCTACCTAAAAAAAAAAAAGGGACAGCTCTTCCCAATATAGTCTTCTGAGTTTAAAAGAATTAACAAAACCAGGAATGTACTGACAACTGTCCGGTAATGGTCGTGCCTTGCTTACTTGACACTCAAAAACAATTAATCAAAGATTCTGTTAATTTTTTTTTTTTTTTTGATAAGTAAAGATTCTGTTTAATGAAAGAGAAGACTAATCAGGAAAAAACACCTCCATCATATAATTTCCAAGTCGCTCAAAGGCATACGACAATGTTCTATGGACATAAAATACATTCAAAAAGCTACACACATAAGTTGATTCCATGTTTTCCAGAAATAAATAGAACACCGAATTTCAGTGTCCACTGAGTAGCCAGTAAACACAGGTGAAGAAGATGTATTAGCATATTCAATCTTAAATTTCATCCTGATAACGTTCAAGTGTTCAACATACTCAGCCAATGAAGCTAATTGGCGTAGTAAAGGTTTCTTTCTTCTCCAAGACCAAATGACAAGTAACATGAGCATCAAATGTTCTCTTTCTACTTCCTCCTTTTTTCAGTAACCAAACATAATTCTAGTCATAATTAGAGTACAGAAGCAGAAACAATTTCCCATGGAATATATATATATCTGAGTGCATTTCTCCATGTCACCCATGAACAACATGAGCACCAAATATCCAGGGGGGAAAAAAACTCACAGCAATCAGTTTCAGCATGTCTTTCAACTTTCAAGACTTGAACCAAAAAAAGCAATAGAATATACTAGGTAGCATGAATTTCGGAATCTAAGGTTCTATTTATCTCAACCATAATTACAAAACTCATGTTAGAATTTTCCTATTTCAGTTAAATTTCCATACAACAAGAAGATGACTGTAAAGTACTACAAATTACTCAGAGGTTAGTCTTTTATTACAGCTACTGAAAATAAAAAACTTGGAACTCCTAGCTTGAGGGGCTCAAAAAAACGTTTATGAAAAACCAACTTCAACCAACAGTAAAAAATAATATAGCAAAATAAATAGAGGTAAGCCTCATCAAACCCCTTTCCGACCTATGACAACCCCTAATTGAGTAGAAAAAAACGTAATCTTTCAAAAGAATTAGACTACTTTGTCAAGGAAAAAAAAAATTTAAGGTCTTACTAACCTAAGCTTTGAAAGAAGAATGATAAATAGCTAAAATTATAAAATATGATAAATAGCTAAAATTATAAAATCACATATAAGCAATTATATCCCTACAAAGGACTTATGTATCAACTTCAAGCGAAGAATTCTTAATTTTTCTTTCTTTTAAAAAAAATGCAGCTTTAATGCAGAGTTCATATACTCATGAGAAAACCAAATATATTATAAAAAAAGAAAACAGAAAGTTCACGTGTGCCTATTAGTGTGATTTGTGTGCGTGCATGGAACCAATTAAAAACTAGTTTCATTCTTTAATATTTTCTTATGAAATAGATTCATACTCAAATCAGAAATGATGATCTTGATGTTCATAAAGACGCAAAATCGAAATTCAAATTTCACAGAAAATATTAAAAATGAAACTTGGGGAGATAGTGTAGTAAAGATAACTCACAGCCAGAAAGTATTGCAAAAATTACTCAAAGTACTAGTTTTCCATTACAGCTTTCATAGATAAACGCCAGATAACTCCTGGCTTGAGGATCTCAAGAAAATGTATATACACAAAGTAAACCATGATACGACAATAAAAATAGAGTTAAGCTTCATCACGCCCTTTTCCGACCTTGACAAACAGCAGAGTAATCTTAATTATTCTTTCCTAAATAAAAATGCACCACTTCATACCTAGCAATTAATCCATAGGCTCGCAAGAAAACAAGAAATATACAGAAAATGTTTGTGCGTGAATGCGTATATATATCAAACAACCGATTGAAAACTAGTGTCATTCTAATGAAATTAGGTTTTATCCCCAAATAAGACTCCAAATTTCAAATTTCACAGAGAAAATATATGGAATGAAACCAAAGCGATCGAGTTTAACAGAGATGAAGCCATAGTAAGAGAGATGATCGCAGTGATAGTGAGATTGATACGAATGCGAATGAAACGAAAACTCACATGCGGAGACCGATGATGTAGTGACGAATGAACAGCAATCGATCGGAAACTGTGTAACCCTAGTCTTGTGATATCGCTTGAGTCCAAAGAAATCAAGATCGCTTTCTCTCTCCTCTTTTTCACTAAGAACTCTCAAGAGAGAAAGAAAGATGTCGCCGTCATAAAGTGACGCCAGACGAATTATATAAAAAAAAAAAATAAAGAGAAACGTGTCACGTAAGTGTTCTTTTGTGGGTGTGGGTGTGTGTGTGTGTGTGTGTGTGGAATTATGAATTATTCGAAGATAAACTGTTAATATAGTTTTTTAATTATTATTATTATTTTTTTTATCAGTGTTTCAGGCCAATTAAAGATATGTAATGAATACCAAAGTATTTTTCGTGACCTTGTAGATAAAAAATCAATAGATTTTATGGAATCAAGATAAAAAATTTCTTGAAAGTTACCAAAAAAATAAAAATAAGTGAATAATAAAAAAGAGGGTGAGTTTGGGATAAAAAAATTTGGCAACTACATTTAATTCCTTTATAGATTTAGCTAACACCATTAATTCAGGAGTTGAATTGGAAAAGTACTAGATGGACGAGTGTGACCTTAACAAATACTGTAAACAACAATCACTCATTTATGAAAAATGAGAAGGTTAAAATAGATGATTAAAATGACTAAAAAAAATAAAGATTGTAAAAAGAAAATTAAGGCTTGGTTTGGCAAGCAGCGGACTCGGTTTGTTAATTGTGTGTGTGTGTGTGTGTTTTTTTTTTTTTTTTCCTTTGGACAGTGTATTATAGTGAAGGAAAATATACAAGCGTGTTTAATAACATTTGTTGTGATTTGAATAGTATCAAAATGTTTTCGAAAAAGAGACTAAAATCGGAAGCACAATCCGTTTCCAGTTGTTTTTGTACGGTAGCGATGAACAGTAGAGCAACAAAAAAAAAAAAAACTCTTATATTGCATTTTTAACTAAATATTTTATTTTGTCAAATTTGCAATATTTTTTTACCAAACATATTTTCATTTCTAAAAATTATGCAACAAATGTAGCGTTACCAAACATATTTTCGTTTCTAAAAATTATGCAACAAATGTAACGTTACCAAACATACTTCCAAATAATATTGAACACAATCCAAAACAGAAAACGTTCATTTTGTTTTGAAGCAAAACAAAAGCATGAAGCAAAAGTAATTCTCAAACAGGTCCTAAGTGTAACACTAATAAATTAATGATAATTAAAAAAAACTCAAGAGGTAAACTTAAATGGTTTGGACCTATACATTAGTCTACTGGTCAAACGAGTGAGGAACACTAAATAGAGACCATATTGTCACGCCTCGCAATCAAGAGGCTACACCATGCAGACACCCAGCAGACGATGACATGGCAACCTGCATGGACCGAGAGCTTTCTAGACTTCTCTACACAAGTATGAAACTTTCTGGAATTCTCTAAATTAGTGTGGAGTTGTCTAGTATTTTCTGGACTTGTTTAGAGTTGTATAGAATTGTCTAGACTTATCTTGTACATTGTATATAGTTCTAGAATTATGTAGACAGTTCCTTGGAAGATTCTAGACACTTATTCTAAGTTACACATTTGCACACATCTAGAATGTTCTTGTAAGGGCCAAAAGCCTATAAATAGGAGGTGGGAGTTCATTTGCTCCTCACCAAGCAACCTAAGTTATAATCTTCTCTCAAGTAATACAAGTATTCATACTTTCACCCAAACTTTTTTGTTCACTTACCTAATTCTCTTCCTACACACACTTGCAAGCAAAACACTTGTCTAGCTTTAGTCTTCACTAAGCTAGCACACTTGAGTAGGTTGACTTAGCACTTCAAGGGGGTTCGAAAGTGTATAAAGTCGCACATGAGTTTGGAAAGGTCCAAGTCCGTGACAGTTGGTATCAGAGCTAAGGTCGTGAGGCATCACACCTTATGCGGAGGAAGCTATGGCGGAGAACTCAGACGTGGTTAATGTCCCAGAGGAGGAGCCGCGTGGAAGGGAGGAAAGTCGCTTTCCAGTCGGACCGATGACAAGGGCTAAGTTGAAAGACATCATTACGGGCTTAGAGGCACGCTTGGTAAACATGGAGGAGTCCGTGGCCAACGTTGTGGGGCAGCTTGAAGATGCTCATTAGCGCATGGACGAGCTAGAGTCGGAGGACGCTGAGGTCTAGAATGCTATCAAAGGGTCACTCAATGCCCTAAGTGGTAACTTTCGGCAGGAGCTCCAAGCACTTCGGGAATTTATGTTGGGCGAGTTTACCACCCTACATGGCTATCTTGATCGGGAGCTTGGCACTTTCCGTGAGCAAATGGAGGAAATGCGAGCAGATTGGGCATTGTGCAAACGGGCGATGGCATCCGGTATAGCTACTACGGGGTTAGTAGCATTCCGGGTTGATATCTTCAAGCCTAAGTGCTTTGATAGGAACCGGGTAGCAAGGGAGTTGAAGAACTTCCTATTTAGCATGGAACAGTACTTTGAGGCTACGGGCATGACGAATGAGACCATTAAGATACGCACCGCGACCCTCTACCTTATCGACCATGCCATGCTATGGTGGAGGAAAAAGTATGGTGACATGGGTAAAGGTACGATCTCTATTGATACTTAGGCTGATTTCACAAGAGAAATTAACAAGCATTTATATCCTGAGAACGCCGAGGATGAAGCCAGGGGTAGACTTCGAAGGCTAAAACAGGTTAGGTCGATTCGAGACTATGTGAAAGAATTCAGTAACCTGACTCTTGAGATCCTGGATCTATCCGATAAGGACTCTCTTTTTTTTCTTCATGGATGGCTTGTAGTTGTGGGCTAAGACAGAGTTAAGGCGGCGCAACGTACAAGACCTTGCCACAGCTATTACAGAGGCGGAGTCCTTTATTGATTTCAGCTCCAAGAAGGATCCTTCATCCAAGCCAAAGGACAAAGACAAGGACAAGGACAAGGGACGTAATGCCGGCAAAGATGAGGGAGACAAGGGCGCTGCGCCACATAAGGATTGGTTTCGTAAGCCCAGTCGTGGCCATAGTGGCAAAGAGGGAAGGGAAAACAAGGAGGGAGCATCCAAGCCCAAGGGATCTTGCTTCCTATGTGATGGACCGCATTGGGTGAGAGACCAAAGAAGAAGACCCTCAATGCCATGACAAGCCACTACGAGGAACAACAATAAGAGGAGGCGCAGATGGGTCGCTGCAAATCCTTACTGCCATCAAGGCTAAGACTGAAGTCCCTAAGGCGGTAGCTAAGGGGCTAATGTTTGTAGAGGCAAGCATCAATGGGACACCAACACGTGCTTTGGTGGACATAGGTGCATCCCATAACTTCGTGAGCATTGACAAAGCTAAGAAGTTGGGCCTCAAGTATAGCAAAGAATGGGGCTCTATGAAGGCAATCAACTCAGCGGCAAAGGCTATATGAGGCATGACGCGCTGCGTCAAGGCGTGCATTGGCGAGTAGGGTGGCCACATGGACCTATCGGTGGTACCCATGGACAACTTCAAACTAGTCCTTGGGTTGGAGTTTCTAGACAAGGTGAGAGCCTTCCCCATTCCTTTTGCTAACACTATGTATATTATAGAAGGCAACACAGCATGCATGGTGCTGGTAGAGTAAGGCGCCAAGTTGGAAGCCCAAGCCTTGTCAACTGCTTCTTGAAAGGAAAGACTAACTACCTTATTACATTGCTGGAGACACCTGATGATGAGCTAGTCCTTTCCCCACAAGTAGAGGTGCTTAAGGAGATACAAGCTGTGCTAGACGAGTACACGAACGTAATGCCTAAGGAGCTACCCAAGAAGCTTCCACATAGGAGGGAGGTGGATCATAAGATTGAGCTGGAATCAGATTCTAAACCCCCTACTTTGGTGTCTTACCGGATGGCACCCCCAGAGTTGGAGGAGTTACGGAGGCAACTCAAGGAGTTACATGATGCGGGCTATATTTGACCCTCGAAGGCCCCATATGGCGCACTGGTATTGTTCTATTAGAAGAAGGACGGGTCCTTGCACATATACATCGATTACAAGGTGCTAAACAAGGTGACTATCAAGAATAAGTACCCCATCCCTCTCATTATTGATCTTTTTTATTAGCTTAGTGGAGCACGCTACTTCACTAAACTAGACTTGCGCTCGGGATACTACCAGGTGCGGATAACGGATGGGGATGAGCCTAAGACTACATGTGTGACGAGGTATGGCTCTTATGAGTTTCTTGTTATGCCATTTGGTCTTACCAATGCACCTGTTACTTTCTGTAGTTTGATGAACAAGCTCTTTTATGCATACTTGGATCACTTTGTGGTGGTGTACTTGGATGATATTGTTGTGTATAGCACCACTCTAGAAGAGCACGTGTAGCACTTGAGGGCGGTCTTCCAAGTCTTACGGGAGAACGACCTATATGTGAAGAAGGAAAAATGCTCATTTGCCCAAGAGGAATTGTTGTTCCTAGGGCATAAGATACGGGATGACAAGCTGATGATGGACGAGGCCAATACTTAGAGGCACTACTTGCTCGGGGCACAATTTGTGATCAAGACGGATAATGTTGCCACCAGCTACTTCCAGACACAGAAGAAACTTAGGCCCAAGCAAGCACGATGGTAGGACTTCGTAGCGGAATTCACTCATCATTTTGAGTACAAGCCGGGTAAGGCCAATGTTGTGGCGAATGCGCTTAGTCGCAAGGCCGAGCTCGTAGCTATTAGTCGGCCCTAGCACCCTCTTGTGGAGCAGATCAAGGAGGGGTTGCTGCATGATCCTTTAGCCAAAAGCCTTATTCAGCTAGCTAAGGAAAGGAAGACTCAACGCTTTTAGCAAAGGGATGACTTACTTCTCACCACAGGGGACCGACTATTTGTTCTCAGGTAGGGCAACTTACGAAAAGAGCTAATACGGGAGTGCCATGACACCAAATAGGCTGGTCACCCAAGTATGCGGCACACACTAACACTCCTAGAAGATTCTTATTATTGGTCTCGGATGCATGATGATGTGGAGACATATGTGAGGACTTGTCTTGTGTGCCAACAAGACAAGGTAGAGCAACATCCCGCAGGCCTACTGGAGCCACTACCCATTCTAGAGAGCCCATGGGAGAGCGTCACTACTATGGATTTCATCACTTGTCTGCCCAAGTCAAAGGGTTGCGGGAGTATTATAGTGGTGGTAGATCAGTTCAGCAAGTATGCCACCTTCATACCTACACCAGTAGATTGCACGGCAAAGAGGGCAGTAGAATTATTTGTTGACCATGTGGTCAAGATTTGGAGAGTTTCGCATAACATTGTTAGCAATAGAGACCCACGCTTCACGGGTAGGTTTGGGACGGGGCTCTTCAAGAAGATAGGGACAGATCACTGCTTCTCTACGAGTTTCCACCCCCAATCAGATGGATAGACGGAGCGCATCAATGCTCTCCTGGAGCTATACTTGCGGCACTATGTAAGTGCCAACCAGCGAGATTGGAGTAAACTCCTTAGGGTGGCATAGTTTTCTTACAACTTGCAGCGGAGTGAGGTTACCAATCATAGTCCATTTAAGGTTGTTACCGGACGGCAGTCTATGACACCTAACGCCATTACTTCGACTTCCGATGGTAAAAGTCCGACGGCCTACAAATTTGCCAAAAGGTGGCACGAACAGTCCGACTTGGCTAGGGCGTACCTTGACAAGGCGGCAAAGAAGATGAAAAAGTGGGCCGACACCAAGCAAAGGCGGGTAGAGTACATAGTGGGAGACCAGGTGATGGTTAAGTTACTACCCCAACAATTTAAGTCCTTACAGAGCGTGTATAAGGGGTTAGTAAGGAAGTACGAGGGCCCATTCCCTATTGTTAAGCGGGTGGACAAGGTCTCCTACATGGTGGAGCTTCCACCCAAGTTAAAGATACATCCAGTCTTCCATGTCAGCATACTCAAGCTTTATCATGAAGACACAAAAGATTACTCGGGGCATATCGTAGAGGGCACCCACGGCCGTTGTCACATCCTTCGACAAGGAAGTTGATTGCATCCTTGCAGATCATGTGATGAGCAAGAGAGACGTGCCTAAGTATACAGAGTACTTAGTAAAATGAAAGAACCTGCCAGATAGCAAGGCGAGCTGGGAGCATGAGGATACACTTTGGTAGTTCACGGGGCATATCCAGCGGTTCAAACATGAAGACGCGATGAGGGCGTCGCGAGTTTAGGTGGGGGAGAATATTACGCCCCGTAACCAAAAGGATACGCCATACAGGCGCCACACAGACGCCTAACAGACGATGACACAATAGCCTGCATGGACCGAGAGCTTTCTAGACTTCTCTACACAAGTATGAAACTTTCTGGAATTCTCTAAATTAGTGTAGAGTTGTCTAGCCTTTTCTGGACTTGTCTAGAGTTGTATAGAATTCTCTAGACTTATCTTGTACATTGTATATAGTTCTAGAATTGTGTAGATAGTTCCTTGGAAGATTCTAGACACTTATTCTATGCCACACATTTGTACATATCTAGAATGTTCTTGGAAGGGCCAAAGGCCTATAAATAGGAGGTGGGTGTTCATTTGCTCCAATCTCGCTGGTTGGCACTTACATAGTCACCACCACGACCGCCATCGCCTTCCTCCATCGGCACCACTGTCGCCTTTTAACACCACTACCTACACTACCATCGCCTTCCACCTCCATCATCACTGCATTACTATTAAAAAAATTATAAACGAATGTTATTTTATTAATTTAATTTATTTGTCACTCATAGGGTATTTTGGATAATTCAATTTTAAATTCATTCCATTTTAAATTTTAAATTGGTCCAACCAAACACTAAAATGTTATTATAATTCAATTCCTACATCATTTCGTACTAAAGACAACATTTCTATCATTCTTATTTGTAATCAACCAATAGAATGAAAATGTCAATTCCATACCCTTCCCTTTGCATTCCAATTGACTCCTACATATGCAGCATTAAAGGTGATAGAAAATCCATCTTATTGTTTGCCGATAAAAAGTCCATTCTTATAGTACTCTATTAATTGGAATTGCAACAAATAGAATCTATCGGTACTCAATTAAAAGTGATTTTAAAAGTTAAATATGGTCGGGAATTAGGAAAAGCTTGGGAGAAAATTCATATTGCCAATCTCATTTATATGAGATTATTATTTTGAAGCTATCATTTAAAAGTTAACAGCAACTAAGGTCTAGGTTGATTTCTAAACAACAATTAAGAATGACGTCAATTGGACATTATTAGCAGAATATCTCTCCCTAAATCTGTATCAACATATTAAATATTGAAACCAGTAGATGAGAGAACAATTCAAGTTGACCAACCAACCCCCCCAACTATTGATATTTCAAGTGAACCCACACATGAAGATACCCATGGGTCGTCTATTAATCGCATTATTAAATTGGCCTCAACTTTAGTGAATGAAATTAAAAAGTAAAAAAAGAAAAAGAAAAAGAAAAAGAAAAAGGAATTCAAACCAGACTTAACTGATATTTAATATTATTTATATTTAACCTACTCAGCTAAATGTGTATTGGAAAGAATCCTTTCTGTAATGTACACTTTTCAACACATTAAGTCTTCTTGTTCAAATAAGATGTAAATATGTTAAAAATATATATAACAGTGCTGAAAAACCCTACAACACCAAAACTTACAGCATAGGATCTGGGCTATATTGGGAAACATGCAACAAGACCTGAGAACACTCTCTCTCCCTTTGAAACTTTTTATAGAGGTTCCAGTGTTGAACTTATAAACAAAGTTCATTCATTTCTGAGCAAAGAATTACATATAACATATGATATTACATTTCTGAATGATCCCCCACTCTAACATATGATATTATCTACAGAGAGAAAAAGAAATTCCAGCCACCCTCGCACCCTCCTAATTGCCATGAGAAAGCGAGTACAAAGGGGGAAGAAAGAAGAAGAAAGAACTACATTGATTCTGAAAAGCCAAAAGGGGGGATTAAAAAGGCCGTATGCCACATTTGCCACAATATAAGCAAATATTATCTTCCCTAAAAGCAATATTCATCTGCCTTGATGATGGATAACTGGCAGGTTAGTCTTGTGATGTGGTAGAATATTCAAAAAGGAGGCGTTTTGAGGGAGCAGACTGTAGAAGTACTCGCAGGCGGCTTGTAAGCTGGTACATTAAAGTCCATTGCATGGCCATCTCTGAATCTTTCATCTGCCTAACTACAGAGGCCTGAAAAGAGCCAAAAAAAGAGTGCTTTAGATGATCACGAAAAGATGGAGAAATATAATCACACATTTGCTTCCTGTTCGTATTCAACATTTATTGGCGTCCAAATGAAAGCATTCATGGGCTACAGTTCTAAAACAAAGTCAACCAACTAATTTCAAACATTTTTTTTTAATTTTTTCCCCAATCAATACCAATGTCTGAAATACATCATTTCTGGATATATTAGTAAACTGCTAAGGGCCTTCATCATTATCAGTCATTTTCTTGTTGAGTAATCATTGAATCAAAAACTGGTTGTTACTTAAGATTAGAGACCCAAACTCACCATTTCCCACTGATTAATTGTTGAGGAATATTCAAACCCCAAAACAGTGTTGGGACTGACTTTTTCAAAACTTGTTCTGACCTACTCTTTTTTTCAAACAAAAATAAAAATAAAAATAAAAAATCAATTTTGTTCACCTTTTTTCATTCTTCTTCATCTAATACTCCTTTATAAAGTTTAGAAACAAATTCAGAGGTTAGATTTACATATTCCAGAGGTATAGAAAGCAGATCTAAGGGTTTCTTCAGATTTACCAATTGGGTTTGAGATAATGCTGATCTTTTCTTGGTTTTACGTTCTTTTAAAACTTACTATAGCATAAACACACTAAATACATGATCTCATTATATATTTTAAATAGGTCTTCTAATAGATCTTGTTAAACATGGTACTCATTTCTTAATTTTTTCTTTTTTTTTTTAAAAAAAATTCTTTCTGTTCCAATTTTTACCTAATAAGTAAAAAGTATCTAGATATTATTTTTATTTAATAATAAATGCAGACACTTAATAAGTTAAAAGCATTCTGATTCAATTTGTTAAGATAATGCAGATTTTTACTTAATATTAATTTGTTAAATACGGAATTGACTTTTTATTTTGCTTTGTTTTTAATAAGTTGATAACGTGTTAGATAATGTTCTTGTTTGTACCATGAATTATTATCATAGTAACAAAAAACAATGAGAAACACTCAAATGTGACAAGTTAGGATAAACATGTTTATCACTGATTTTGAATGGTTTGCTAGTGTTTAAAAGAAATGCAAGATTGTGGTAACCAATTCCTGTTTCACCTAGACTGATCAGCACACTGCGACTGTTACAGTTACACTACTGAAATTCATCATCAACAACATTAACCATGAAAAAATATAATATTTTATTAAGTATATCTTTGATTTTATTTTTTCTTACAAGAAATATTGACCCTCCATAAAATTGTAATATTATATCGATCTATAAATAAATTGTTAACACCCGTCTACTCTAAAAGCTTAAGCTATTAGAGAGGGTGGTGTAACTTTAACATTTAAATTCTTCAACACACCCCCTCATGTGTGGCCTTCTTTAGGTCCAACACGTATTTCAATTTCAATAACCGGGGTGACGTCGAAGTTTGAACTCGAGACTTTTGGCTCTGATTACAACCGTCTACTCTAAAAGCTTAAGCTATTAGAGAGGGTGTAATTTTAATATTTAAATCCTTCAACATAAATGTTACCATTAAAGACTGCTAAAACATTAGTCTTTAATCATTATGACAATATCTCTATCAACTCTATACTTGCATGAAAATCAAGACACCCTTGCAATGGTCACTACATGTTTAGTGCCAGCTTCCTCCACAGTGCAACAATGAAGATATGTTTACAGTTAAAGCCATCCATGTTCAGCGTCATAGACTAGGTATGCTACGGCAACTCCCATACAGTGATAGATCGAATTCAAGCTGAAAAAGGAAAGAAAGAAAGCTGCCCTTAGCCTTGATCTTCCTTGTTCAGCTTTTAGCCCAAGTTCTTTTCTTTTTTATTTTCTCAACTAATTTTAACAATGTCTAATTTCTTTTAAAAATCAATCAAATTCTATGAATATGAATCACATTTTAAAAAAATGCAATCACTGCAAGGGGCGTGTTGTGTGCATTCGTTTGCTTTAACTCCCTCGAAAAAAAGAAAAAGAAAAAGAAAAAGAAAAGAAAAAAAAAAAAAAAACCTCTTGAAAATGCAGCACCTTGAACAACATGAAAGCAAGATTTTCAGGAAATGACAAAAATTTGACCATGAAGAAAAATTGCATCAAGATAACCTGAAGGCGCTTCCCGAGCTGGACTTCAACTTCAGTACCAAATGAAATATTGCTGGCTAGAGATTTAAGAGGATCAACTGTGGGATCAACAGAAAGCAAGCTAGGGATCTGCGGGGCATAAACTAGCCTCCACCTAGCCTGTCCAAACTCTCCCTTCCCTTCTATTCTTGGCATTAATGTCTCAAGCGTTGCAGTAGCAAGCTTCTTAAATGCAAGCTGGCCATCACCTTCCAAGATGGACTCCGCCAATTGACTCTCAAAGACTCTTGCAGCCTGTGCAATTTGGAACAAACTGCTAAAATCATATTGCTCCAAAATCCAAATTAGTGTCAAGGACAAAGAAAAACTTCTACAAAAGTTCTAATAGAAAATAAGCTACCCTAGATACGACTGTTAATACTACGTCACAAATTTATGCAAAAGAACAGATATAAATAAGATGCATCCACAAACTGACGGCTAAAGGCAACAGATCACAACACTCTGCAGCATATGTGGAGGCTATGCAACATGGCACATCATACATGTAGGTGAATCATGCATTCATGCTCCTCCAACCTATCTGTAGAGAGAAATTTTCATTATTCTGGTAGGAAGGAGATAGCTCAAAAATAGTTTGCAGTGATGTGTGCAATTCATCATTTATTTGCTCCCATTACTGAATCGAGCTCCAAAACATCACCAAATAAATATATTAATTAGTATGTATGAACAAAATCTACTGTCATATCATTGATCTTTTTTTATTTGCAAAATTGTTAAGCTGTCACCTTGCATGTCTTAAAAACCAACAGCCAAACAAATACATCGCATACTGTAAAGTGCACCAGGTAGCATGATAAAACTTGAGGTTCAGAGTTTCAAATTAACCTAAAAGCTTCATAATAACCAAAGACAACCGTATAACTAGCCAACTTGGTGTTACCTCAGTAGGTGAGAGGGCATCTTGCTCCACAGAACGCGTTGAGGTTACTACCAACTTGTCCTGCCAATTACTAGCTCGACTTTGAATCCTGAATTGCCACTCTGATCCAACTAGAGCTAAGTCTAGCATTGGGTCTAGTCCATTATCAGGCTCAAATTTTGCTATATTTAGATGTTCCCGCTTAAGCCTCACCTGGATTTGGAAAAAAGGTCAAAGTAAGCAATCGACAATTAACATGACACCAGGAGAAAAATAAAGGCCACAAGCGATGCTTGGGAAACACTACAGGAGTGACAAAAAATACAAAACTGACCTGAGTTGCAACAAGATTGACATCACCATTCTCAAAAGTTAAAATGCCTTTAGGTTTTATCCATCTTGGATGAGCTACGCCATTTAACTCAAGCTCTCCACTAACAGCAAAATTGAGAATCAAAGGATAAACCATCCTCAACTCTGGCCCGAGAACAAGCTTTAAGTCAGTGAGGCGGATATCTAATTCAGGTTTACTGTTTACTTGTTCCATTTCCTTTTCAGCTTCAGCTGGTTTGCCTGTAATATATTTAATACTTTGAGATAAGTTAAAGATTTCTCATGGAAGTCTCCTTGAGAACTAACAATAGAATGCATATTTTGGCAATTAGAAAGCTACAATGCAAAATGGTCTTAATTTTCAAAGCCATGGTTCATGTTGTTGAAGGATTTAAATATTAAAGTTACACCCTCTTTAACAACTTAAGCTTTTAGAGTAGATAGTTGTTAACATGGTATCAGAGCAGGAGGTCCTGTGTTCAAACCTCATTGACGCCATGATAATTAAATTGAAACACGTTTGGACCAAAAGAAGGCCACACGTGAAGGAGCATGTTGAAGAATTTAAATATTAAAGTTACATCCTCTAACAGCTTAAACTTTTAGAGCAGGTGCTTGTTAACACATGCAAACCGATTTTTAAACCGTGCGATGTCACATTGTGGAATCCCGCAAAAGTTTTGAACTTGCTGAATTACTGACTTGTTAAAGGATTATCCCGAGCATAAAGAGAAGTATCTTTTGCTTAATTGGTTTGGAATTGATAGGAGAGAAAAAGGACAAAATGGAACACTAGAAAGTAAAGAAGACATTCACGTCAAACACACTGAAGTTGCCTAGACATGCAAGTAAATAGTGCGATATAGTATGAACCATCACTCGATTAGCATATATAAAGGAAGGATAGAACAACACAACTGAACATATAAGATGTAATTTGGAGTACAAGAGCACGGTGTAGGTCATGGTTAAAATTGCACTGAAAAAGGCTACAGCTACTAGTATCCGACCCAATCGTATGCATAATGTTACCTAAACTGTTTTGTGAACCTTACTATCTATAGAAGTATTATCCATCTACAGAAATGATGAATATTCAATTAAGTAGACAAATATAAACCCTAATCCAAGCTATTAAGATTGGTTACTGTATCAAGTTTTTCCATTCTCTTTAATAAAAGCATATAACTTCAATTAAACCGCACACTATCATTTCAACCCACATTAATATTTGTCTTCCCTTTTTCCTAGAATTAACTCAAAGTGAACTCTGTTACTCTTAATCACCAGTGCAACTGCACTGGTCTTGCTCATGTAGCCTAATTATCTTAGTCAATTTTCTCCCATTTCATCCCCAATTGGTACTACTGCATGTAATATTTTCTATTTTAACTTTTCTCATCTTATCGCACATCTATCTCGAGTCTCAACATCATCATAACACTCTCATTTTATGAACATTTTTCTTAACCTCCCAACATTCTATACCTCCTAACTGTACTGGTCTTGCTCATGTAGGATTGTACGATCCTACTAAATTGTGTTGTTTTGTCCTTTTTCTGGGTTTTTCCGGCTCTACAACCCCTTCTTGGCAAAGAAATTTAAGGTTTTTAAGTATAAAGTCCAACACTTAAGCCTAATTGCATTTAAAAAGAACAAAAAACACAGACCCAACTTCAAAACTTCAAAAATTTCCATTATTTTGCAAAATTCTTCAATGAATTTACAAAAAACAAATAGAGCTCAGTTTCTCCGCCTATCATTTGCCCCAAAAAAAAAAAAACAAAGAGAGAAAAAGCAAAAAAGAAAAAAGAAAGACTTTGTTTTCCCTCTGTTCTTTCTCTATATCTGTTTTGTTCTTTTTCTTAACCAAAAAATTAGTCTTTCCACCAAAATTGCTCACAGATAATTTGGCAACTAAATTGTTCATTTCTCCATCTCTATTTCTCTGATCCGTTTTCTCTTTGTTTAGGCTTTTGCCTTAATTGCTTCTGTTCTGAAATTCTGTTTGACTGTTATGTTGAAGTTCTTGCATAGAGAAAATTAAGAAATTGGTTTTAAGTATTTTTCATGTCTTACACTCTTAATATCTTTTAATGTTAATTGATTTTTGCTAGAATGTTGATGATGTTGTGTTTAGCCTTAAATCTGTATTTATTTTTAAAATAACTTCATTTAGAAAGTTAGTTTAAGTCATTTTTGTATTAGTTGTATAAAATCTTATGATCCTCGATACGATCCTATAATCCTATAATCCTGATCCATGGACCCTCCATCAATCCTATGTAGAATCCCGATCCTGACACCCTCGCAAGGGCCACTGGAGTTGTGTCGATTGATCAGCCACCTCTTCAATCGATCGAGCCTTGTGGAATTGCAATTCCCTTTTTGATTTAAAACATTACAAACCCTACTCTCTATAAATTACAAATTTGCCTATATATACACTACCTCTATGACAGAACATATGAACGCAAAGAATACATATAGAGAGAGCATTCTTGTGAGTTCTAGACTGCATTTTATTTTTATTTTGCATTCATCATTCTTAAAATTAGTGAGTGTAATTAAATGTTAACAACTATCATTGCGTACTTCAATTGAAGGGTTCAACACAATAATCAATCCATTATCATCGATTAACTTGGATGACTGGTGGTTGCGACTGGATCACTGGTTGAGAAGCATATTCGCAAGGAGCAAAGCCTATTGAGGAGCGGCTCTTGAGCCTGGAAACCAGAACAGAATTTGGTGGATCAAGGAGGTAACCAGAGATTTCCAGGGTTTTGGAAAACTGTAACCTAGGTTGTAATCCTTCTTTCTCATGGTGGATTCAATTTTCCTGTTCTAGGTCCTGTGGTTTTTCTTTATCAGGTTTTCCACGCAAAAAACTGTATATTGTTTTATTGCTTTAATTGATTATTGCATGCGTGGATGATAAATTAAGTATAATTTAGTTTTTCTATTAGGATTTGAATTTAAATTTCAATTAAGTTTGTTTAAATTCAAAAGGCAATTAAAGTTCAGAGATGCAACCACCAAGGCATATTCACAAACAACCCCCTAGCGGGTCCTGTGTCTATATCAAGGACAATGCGTGATTCTATTAGACTACCTGTCTTACAAACTTTCATTAAGGATTTTCATACCCAAGCCTTTTGCTCTTCTAATGTAAAATTTGGTCAGCCCTCTATTCCTTCGTATTCAACCACTTAATAGATCACCTACTCTCTCTTGCCATCAGTCGTCCAATGGGTCATTCTGGCCAAGAATGTTCCAATCAACTATCCTCATAGGTTTCAAGCCGACTTTGCTCTTTAGGAGGTGAAAGAGTGGTTGAAGCGAGCATTTTGAAATGACAACATCGAAGATTCAAAGCTATATTTCTATATATACCAAGGTTGTCAGGATCGAGATTCTATGTAGGATCAATGAGGGGTCCATAGATTCAGGATCGTAGGATCAGATCGAGAATCGTAAGATTCTATAAAACTATTTGAAAATAATTCAAACTAATTTTCTAAATCAAATATCTTCGATATAAGTAGAGAATAAGGCTAAACAACCAACACGACCAACATTCTAGCAAAATCAATTGACATAAAATATACTAAGACACATGGCAAACATTTAAAATCAATTTATTGATTTCCTCTATACAAAAGCATAATCACATAAGAAATTAACGTAAACCCTAAACAAATAAAAAAAGGGAATAGAGAAACAGAGAGAGAAAAGTACAATTTAGTTGCCTAATTGTCTGAGCAATTTAGTTGAAAATATTACCTTTTGGTTCAGAAAAAGAACAAAACAGAGATAGAAAGAACGTCGTGAAAAATTGAAATTTCTCTTATTTTTGTTTCAAAATGGACAAAGAATAGGAGGGATAATAGAGTTCTTTCTTTTTTTGTTCAGAAAAAAAGATGAATAAAGCAAAATAGAAGAAAATTTTGAAGTTTTGAGCCATACCTTTGAAACTCAAAGCTGGATCGTCTCTACCTTTGACGTTCGGTCTTTGATTTTTGAATTTTTTTTATGCAATTAGGCTAAAGATTTGGGCTTTATGTTTAAAATGTTAATTTGCCCAAAATGGGTACTAAATAACACGATTTAGTAGGATCATGCAATCCTATGCGATTCTACGATCCTACTCCCAATTCTACAGGTCCCACTCTGATCCTACTTCCTAGCAATTTTCTTATGCGATCGGAATTGATTTAGCAATTTAAAATTTATGATACTATGATCCGGATCGGGATTTTAACAACCATGATATATACACGATTACAGTTATCAAGGGCTGTGGAGAGGGGCACCCCTTATGTAGGGCCAAATTTCCGTGCTGGTTGGAGACCTGGTTCATTATGTATAACTTGAAAGAGAGAATAACCAGACAAGGCTGGATAAAAAAGTACGAGGGTTAAATCCAACAAATAAAGCAAAGAAGAGTTCCATCATCATCATCCATAGAAAGTACATGATGAAAAATGTGAGATGGTGGTTATTTTTGTTCCTGTGAAGCGAAGATCATTCACTTGGCGAGGTACGCCAAACAGACATCATCAGTCTAGTCGCATTGGTTTTATCAAGTTGTGCGTAAGCCAAGAAGGAACGAAAGAAGTGGGGGGCCCTGATGCAGGACGGGAAGAGAGAAGTAAATTGAGAAGAGGAGAGGGAAGAAGAGAGGAGAGAAGAAGATTTTGGGGGAGGACAAATCAGTAGTTTAATATTCAATATTATTCATAATAATCTAAGGGTACTTAATCAGTACACATGCCATGTATATATATGCAATACAAGAACCCTAAGGTCCAAAATAGCTCTGCTCAGTCCAACTTAGATGCAAGACAGAAGACTTTATTCATAGGCAAACCTAGTCATAACACTAATTAAAAGGAAGCATTGGAAGGCTTAACACATTCCTAAAACATATAGAAAAACTCTGAAATTCTATCTGTCCTTGCCCATTTTCCAAGCATAGGTGAGAGTCATGTGCAATTCATATGTACGAGTAATGTCCCGATCTCCATCAGGCCCCTTTAGAGATAGGAAGGAACTTCCTTATGGTAGTAATTGCGAACATCTCTCTTCTCTTAGTAATCATAGTATGCTTGAATATCGTCTTGGGCGCATATCTCCAGTTTGCACATCTGGCTTTTTTTCAATTGTAAGATACTAAGATCATCTCCACTTTTTTGGGTATTTCTTGATCCTCATTTTTCAGTACTTCCTCATTTGTAATCCTAGTTTTGATTAGGTAACATTTCATACGTTCAAATGTTATCATATATGCTAATTTAGTTCTACCAATCTAAAACCTTCACCATCCTAGAACTTGTTACTCTTAACTTAGCACTAGTTCCTTCTTCAGTTTCAACAATTAAAACAATACTATTAGCAAATAGCATACACTAGAAAACCTCATCCTGCATGTGTTTTCCAACTAATTAAAAGTTAAGGCAAAAAGATAGGGATTTAATGTTAATGTTGATCCCTTATGTAAGCATACAACCACCTATAATCCATTGGTTTCTCTTGCAGTTGCTGTTACTATAGTCATAACTCCCTCGTACATATATTCTAGCACGTCAATATATCTATTAGTGATTCATTTCTTTTCTACCATATTCTATCTCTGGGGTGTCGAGTATCAATCCAACCACATATATATTTCTTTTCTACCATACACTGATTTTTCAAGTTAGGAAAGGCATAGAAAGCCCCCTCTTTATTGGTAACTAGTTTATTACCCTTTCCTTTTTGTGGTTTCATATTCTCGTCCATTAAAATACGAAGCTCTGAATAAAAATCCCTAGTTCAAAGGTCTATTTTATGGATTTTTTTTGCCATTGAATTCTGCTGAGTGTTTGTCCAACCATGTATCCACATATCAAAAGAATATTCCTAAAACAGTTATTCCCACCTCTTTGTTTGTACTAAAATGTCATTTTTATTTTACTGAGTTACACTACTGTCTGTCGATGTCTAAATCCATCTACTGTAACTGTGTTTAGAAATTTACCTCAAAAAAAAAAGAGACAATTATAATAACAATAACCAACTCATACCAACGGGCTAGTGGCCTAGCGGTATCAGCCCCTTACCTCCTAAAGGGAGGTCAAGGGTTCAAGTCTCAAAAGAGACGTGTGTGTGAGTACCAACTAGGAAAAAAAAACAATAAGCAACTCATTTTTATCACAAATCAATCAGTCCGGCAATGTTGAAACCATATAAAACTGCTAATCCTATAAACAGGTTTCTGAAGTTTGAAACACTAAAATAGAGGGATGCGAGGGACAAAATGGATATTAATACTCAATATGAAAGTTAAAAGAAAATGTAGCTCACAGGATCTTGACAATAGGCTTTAAAATTCAAAAAAGGGCATTACCATGTGTATGTCATGCCCATGCTGGGTGCAAACTTGCAAGAGGGTATTTTCAAGTAGTTTGTGCAAAAGGTAAGAAGGGATTTATAGACAACTCAAACAGCAGTCCTCTAAAAATAAATAAATAAATAAAAATAAAAAATCTTTTTAGGTTACTCGTGAACTCTGTTCCAATCCCTCCATAAAGAGAAAAATATCAAGAGTTTTGGGTCAATGGTTTTGGTATTTGAACCATTGACCACATCCACAAGAGAAACATGGATTTGAATTTTATCAGAGTATTAGGCGACTAATCATAAGGCAACAGGTTCCCATCACACTCAATTTACCTGAAGGTTGACGAAATGGGGAACTTAAAGCAGCAGGCTTTAAACTGAAAAACCGTGGAGCATACTTTGAAGCAACAACTCGATTGTAACCACCACTAGGAAGCGTAGATTGGTCTGATGCCATTTTAATAAAAGGAGCAGCTCTACTACCCTTATCATGTGGCAAATATGCTTCTCCATGGCTCAATTTAATCTTTCCAGAAATGTTCGGTTGCAATATCGAACCTGTAATTTGCAATTGAGTGTCAACTTGACCACTGCAATTTTAGTAGATATGTCAGTTCTCCTTGGACAAAATGTGAAACAATTAAAAAGGAATCTAGATCTCAAAGCTAAACGTGCGGAGTATGATATTACAAAAAGAAGAAAAAGAAAAAGAAATTGAAATTGAAAATGAAAAGAATAAGCACCCCCACCCCGGCGAATAAATAAATAAATGAAGAATTAAGATAGATGGTGCAACAAGACAAACCGAATGTTCTTTGTAAGTTCCCATATTAGAGAGAAAGAAAAGACACCTTAAAGTATTCTTTGCTCGAACTTCCAGAACTTCACATTTCAAGTCAATTTTATCACCAAGAGATGCTTCAGTTGTCCTAAGGGGCAGGTTCCCTTTCACAGATAGCTTTCCCCGTCTGCTAACCCTACTCTCCAAAGAAATGATGCATAACCTATTTGAATTCACCTGAACTGTTCCACCAAAGTTTGTTAGTGGTTTCCGGAGAACTGGTGAAGATATAGTTGCCCTGTGGAAATATGCAGATCCATCGAGCACTGGCTGTTCAACCGTACCTCTGACCTTTTTGTGCAAAACAAAACACATGCATTAGTAAACTTGCAATTTCACTGTTTTTCATTATAAATATATGCTACTGCAACATAAGCCCATCAATAATCATTATCTACTTGATCTACCTGAAGCATAATTTCTGCATTGCCATTAAGCCAGTTGGCATAAGGAGATAAAGCTGTTAACAACATCATGCCCCCATCTTTAATATCAGCATCAACCCTGACTTCTCCTACATCCAGCACATTCCAGTTTAAACCTTTAAGACTTTCAGCCAACTGAGTATTCCAACCTTCTTCAATTCTATCCTTGAAGGCTTTCTTATCAGTGGCTTCATCTGCCGACACTCTACTCCTTTCCTTAGACCAACCAGGTACCCAAGTTGCTTCATTTTTTTCTCTTTCCATATTTTCTTCCTCCAAAATGTTTGTTTGGACAAAACTTACAGGAATACTTCCTTGAATATGTACATGGCCATTCTGGATGATGGGTTCAAATTTTGAATTGAACAGAAAACGGCTGGATGAGGTTAGGGAAGCGACAATTTCAGCTCGCCCAAGATCAATGCCCCCTACAGCACCATCCAGGAGCCTTACTTGCACATCACATTCTGGTTTTGTAAGACTTCCTCTGAGATCCCCTTCCATGTGCAGTATACCTTTTATTGGTGCTAACAATTGCCGCAGAGAATGAATAGCATCAATGGCTGAAGATTCAATAACTTGAATGACAGTCGGGACTAGACTAACAGGAAAATTCAGTACAGCAAAATGTAAATTAGTTTTTGGCCCCAACAAGGTCCCATCAGCATGGATTGTGGCATTATCTTTTTGGATAAACATTTTCTCAAGGCGCAATCCATCATCGTTGCTGTATGCACCAACTGCCAGAACACGCTGAGTTTTGTAGGTTCCCCACTCCCATTCCTCCCCATGAAAGTCAAAATCTGCCTGAGAAAATACACAAGTAAAAAAGCCACCCATCAGATAACAAAGGTGCATGGTATAAAAGTTAAAGAAACAATTAAATTCCACTTTTAACCCCAAGGGGTTGGCCTAGTTGGAAAAGACTTGGGCATTGGTGCCTCATAAAGGATCGATTCTTGCTAGGTGCAAACAATTCCTTGGAGGGGGGGCGTGCTAGGGGAAAAAAATAAAAAATAAAAATTTAAATTCCACTTTTTTCCTTCCATGAAAGGGGAAAAAAGAAGACGACTATCAAATTTAGAGCTTTTATTTAGTACCTTAAAGTGTCAATAAGTATAAAAGAAGATATTTAGCATTTCTACAAGACCAGCAAAATTAAGCAAATAGACATACCTATGAAACACAGAAATGTGTTCCACAAGGGGCAAACTCCGTGGCCAAGAACAATTTGTAGCTTATGATGTACCAATATATATATTAATTTTTGTTTTCACTCTTGCGAAATGGAAATAAAAAAGAAGCAACCTTAGAATCTAGGATCATGGGTACCAAGTCCAAGCATTATGCCCACTGCCAAGGAGGACTAGAAAAAAGAAGTGAAGAAACTTCATCCATGTTTATTCATGACCAAAGAAGCTATTTTTACCATCAAGGGAAACAAATAACATCATGAAATAAGTACACATCATATCTATATCAACTAGAAAAATTCATATTGGTTAGGTCAACTTGAAAAATGAATCCAAAATCTTAGTTGCCCTGATGCAAAATTTATGCACTTGCCTCCTGACCGTCTGGAAAATGGAGATCTGTAAATCTAATAATTTTTACTTCAGCATTGGATTACTTATATGCATGAAATTTAAGCTATATTGTGTAATGAAAAACTTCAAAAATATCTACCATTGTGTCTCCATTGCCTCCACCACTTGCATCAAGGGAGCCATGCCAGCGACCTTTAAGTTCAGCTAAACCAGGCAGACTCAAGTCTTCTAAAATTACTTCATTTGATGAAGTACAATGTCCTCGAATTTCCTGAAATATTTATATAACCGTTAGTGTTGGAAACATGCAAATCAAGATGAATTTTTGCAGTTCATCTTATTTCCATCACCAGATACAAAAGAATAACCAAATGGCATTTTATTCTGGTACCAATAGCTAGCATCCAGCATTGCAGCTTTAAACATGAAGTAATTTTTGTTTTCAAGTACCTCAAGAAGGTTCTGAAGGCTTTCAGTGTGCAATCCCACAGACTGTAAACTTTGTATAAAAAGGTCCTGCAAATAAATGAAAGAGACAGACGACTAGATGAGGTAAAAATTTATAACAAGGCGCTGCATATCTTCAAAAAAGCATTAAAGATCACATATGCCATTCTGTTCGGCTCTATTGAAAGCCATAGCTTCAGTCAGAAAAGCAAATCAAACAAGAAAAGAATCTGCTCTATCTAAAATTAACTCAATTGGACTAAAAATATAAAAGATAAAAACATTCTTGGTGTCCCGGACAACCAACAAATGACGGCAATTTTAATCATGAAAATTGACAAACTTGAACTTCTAAAACAAAAGGTCTCCCATCATCACACCACCAAATAATAAATAAATAAATACAGAACTATACTTTTAGTTGAAGAACTTTCTTACTATATATATATATATATATATATATATATATATATATATATATATTCTTCCTAAATGAACTTTCTCAATTTTTCTATGGGTTAACTCAAACTGTTTTGTTTATGTCATCCAAAGATCTCTTAGAGTAGCAAGAAACTCGTTGAAAAGAAAATGTTTCTAGTATATAACCTCGATGAAAAGAATGTAAACAAAAGAAAGAGTACATAGATGAACTTTATAAATTTGATGAGGCAGTTGACAAACAAAATCATCTAAGACTTATATGATCGTTTCTAAATTCTCCATTTCTATTCAACAATCATAAACGATGAGATATATTGTGAACTAAGAAAATTTACTTCCATAGATTTTTAAATATAACAGATTAACGATAAAAAGGTAAGAAGTATTGCTGATAGAAGAAACTAGCACAACATTAGTGACAAAAGATAATAAATAACTACAATATATAATTTTCTCTTCACTCATTCATGAGGAAGTGACAAAGAGAAAATATCTAGAAGGTCGTTTATACAAACTAGAATATTCCCATGAGCTAGAGAGATACCCTTTGAGGTCTTTTGGTTTGATGGATTGTGCTTTTCCCTCCATAGACCTTACAAATATTAAATGTACAAGCTTCTATGATACACTTGAGCACTATCATTAATGCCCCCTGAAGAAATTCTTCATCATAAATTAAATAACTGTGTTGTGCTAGAGGTTAAAAGATTAACTACCGGCCAAATGCTATTAAGCAAGCATGTAGTTGACTATCATGAGAAGTATTTTTTCCATCAGTTTCAAGTGGAATATAACCTTTGATCTAGATTGAACAGCGGGATCAGTACTTCGAGAAAGAAGTCTTGCAAGTGGTAGCATCTCAGCAATCTCCGCCCGAGGAACTTCAAGTCTCATTCTCCACCTACCCATAGAAGATATCACACTACCCAGATGCCCAGCCATTGCTCTCTTGAACAAGCTACCCCTTTCCTTTCCAGCAGGGTTCCGATCTCGCGTGCCAGGCAACACATATTCACCTTGAAGTTCATACTGGCTATTGCTTTGTTCCAAAACAGTTTTTTCAACAGTGATCTAAACAATAAGGTATCAACTATCAAATGAAAATAAAGATTTTATAAACAACATTGCAACCAAAAATAAAACGCAGATCTAGAGAACAAAAAGGCACAAAAGTGAAGATAAAACATTTTTTATTTTATTTTTCAGCAATAAAACTTTACAGAACAAGACGAAATATATGGCCTGAAAGTATTTAAGAGATCTAAACATGCCCAAAAGGAGAAAAATGAAAGAGGCACTGCAGGCTGCTTCATTCTAGTGAGGAATACAAACTGAACTTTGAAAATCAGAGATCCCATGTAAAATCCAACTTAAACAACTTAAGATATCAACAATCAATTGCATGGGGTAAACAGACTTCTCTTTCTCTTAGAACTGAGATAAAGAACTAACTGAAAGATTAAATAAAAATATCTATTTAAACTGTAATTTTGATTTTACCACCTCTCCCCATCTCAGCAGTGGATGTCAGATGGATATAGAGGATAGACGAGGGATGGACAATTCTTGAAGTTCAATGTGTTTATCTTTGATTCACAGCCAAGAAACAAAAATGCAGATATATATATATATATATATATATATATATATATGTATGTGTATAGTTATCATCTGAAGATGTCAGTTACATGACCTTGAGTCTTGATGGTTCAGTAACAAGACGCTTGAGCATTGGTGCGACTGGCACAAGTCCGAGCCTCAGAGCAGCCACTTTGGGAAATACTAAAGGTTAGGCTTGTCTCAAGTTCTCCCTCTCCAAGACCCTGCCATGGCAGGATCACAACTAGGCAATGCCTTTTATGAGTCTTGGTCTTTCTCTATGGCAATTTTTCATCATCGAAATGATGGAATTTAAAGCTTGAAGTAGGAAACAAATATAGAAAGAGGAGCATTTTTCTCCCTTTATGTTTTTTAGGGGGAATCTTTTTCAAAAAACTGCCCAAGCCAGTTTACCCACAAAAAGTTCAGATATTCTAATATAAAAGAAAAAATCTGGTTCAGGTACTCACGACATCCCCACTCCATCTAGCAGCCACATCTAGAGCTTCGCCCAAAACGCCGCTGAATTTTGGCCGAAGTACAGATAGCACTCCATGGCCCCTTCTTTTCTGGAAATTAAGTTGAAGTTCCGCCTGAAAGTAAAAAAGAAACTAACAACTGAGTAACAACTTTGAACAATAAATTGCTATTGACACTAAAGCTAAAGAGGAAATCGTCATTACGCTACAACGGATTATGATTTGCCTTTACAAAAGGCCACTATCCAAAATGCTCCCGTGAATCAAGGGTTCTCGTTAGGGGAGATTGGATACAGACCTAACCTTTGGCATATTTTGCACAAAGTGGCTACCGCCAAACTTAAACCCACGTTCTCACAGTAGTTGTCCGAGCTTTTACTACTGGACGAAGCCAGGGCCCTCATTATGATTCTCTAATACAGAAAAACATTTTTGATAAGATTATAAATATTCATACATGATACAAGGTACAACTTACAACTGATGACAACATTATTAGACAAAAGAAAAGCAGTGCACTAAAAAATTGGGCCAGCCTTTCCCTGATAAATAGCATAGCTTAAGGAGATTAATGCAAGTGAAAAAGCTAAAGAAGGATCTGTTTTGCCGAGGTGGTCCATTTCTTTTTATCATACGAAGATTTCAGGTCCGATTTGAAGTTCATATTTGTTTTGAGTACACCACTCGGAGAAACATTTATAATGCTAATCAACCGATTGCAAGAAAATTAGAACCATGCAATTTGTGTAAGGCGATTTCAAGCCAAGTCATCATCTCCCACTGCAATGCTCATTTCCATACAGTTCTAGATCTACTTTTGGCTTTAACAAAGATCTCAAGTCCGATTCGAAGTTCATATTTGTTCGGACAATACCGCTCGGAACAGCATTCTTAATGTTAAACAATATTAAGAAAATAAGAACCATGCAATTTGTCTAAGGCGATTTCAAGTCTTCATCTCCCACTGCAATGCTCATTTCCATACAGTTATAGATATACTTTTAGCTTTATAAAATTTATTAGGGGGATTTTCTTTATTGTCAGAGTTGAAATCCAATATTGATTACGTTTTAGGGTTTTGGATTTTTAGGGTTCAAAGAAAGGAAGAAAGAAGAAGAAAAGAGAGGGGAAGAATAAAAAAGAATGTAAAGAGGATTGTAGGATATTGCAGATATCACAACACCCATGTATTTATACTTCTATAGTAGTGAAAAATAAGTTGAGAATGTAAAAAAAGGATTGTAGGATATTGCTGATAGCACAACGCCCATGTATTTATAGTAGTGAAAAATAAGTTTTGCAATAATACCCCATGTGGTAAAATCCCATTAATTACACTCATTACATGAATATTCCCACATATTCCAACAGCCACCAATTGCAAGTAATAACCCTCTTGACTGTCTGGAAAAAGGCGAGCTTTGATTTATTACTTGGATTTGGTGAAATAGATTGTCTATTTGCTTTCTTTTCGCTGTTAATGCAAAAAAATCCTTGACCATTCCTTAGATCATCATAGAGTTTGGATCTTTCCCCAAATAAAATAACAAAAAGGAAGACTCATTAACTAAAACACAGGCGATGTGGTAAAGTTCACAAATCCAGTCTTACTACTCCAACCACCCAACAAAAACAAAAACAAAAAGTGAATCAACATAAAACCTGAAGATTTTAGATTTCATCTTACTATCAACCCATTTTAATTTTCTTTTGCGTAATGCTGATTATGGACCTATTTTTGCCATTTTTAATCTTCCTCTCCACCTAATCCTGCCCCTCTGCCACATCAACTTCCCTCTTGGCACTAATTTTTAAGATCCTTAATGCGTTCAGTAATAAATACCAATCTCCAACATTACAGCTATTTTATTGCTTGAAAATCCTAAGCAATAGTCATGCTTCTAATTGCCCAAGCTACCAACAATTTTGGCAGCATGGGTGCAATGAAATAAAAAATTGACAATTTCCAATTCACGTCCAAACCTCCAACTCAAAAATGTGCTTGTTTAGTGAACCAAAGAAGATTGTCTTACACCAAATAAAGATCATTTTTTTTTTTTTTTTGATAAGTAAAATTGTATTAAGAAGCGTTCAAAAGGGGAACGCATCCCTCAAAAGCTACACAAGGCCAAATAAAGATCAATGATTCAATATATTTATGAAGTAGATTATAAGACTTTGGGTTAGGGATAGAAGGAAATACTCAAAGACCACAAAAGCGCGAGACTTTGAGTACGTCTAAATACTCAGAGGTTATTATTTTGGTTTATTCTTCTTTATATTCTCCTTATGTTCCTTTTCTACTGTTACTTGGGGTTACTGAACATGTGAAGGCAAATGAGGTGCAGAAAAGAATCAACAATAAAGTCAAGAAGGCCAGTATGAAAGCTCACTTTTTGGATTGTTCCCCGAAGTGAAGCCAGCTCCAATTCATCAAGAGGTAAATGGCGTACCTAATAGCATATGAACGTGGAAAACTACACTTACCAAATCATTCAAGAGAGAAAAAATCCGATAGAACTCCAGGTAACAATACTAAATTCTTTGTTAGAACACACAATCAGGAGATGAGAGAGAACCTCCAAGTTAGCTGAATGTAGCGGTCGGTAGCGAACATCAGCTCTTAGGTGCCCCTTTTGAAGAGAAAAGGACAACAATTTTCCATCTATGCTTTCTTCAGCACTTGGCCGCAAAGGTCCTACAACCTCCATAGAAAGACACTCATCTGGCCTACCTGTGGCATCCAACTGCATCATCAGAGAGTTAAGAATTCAGATAGTTATTAAAACAGGGACAGACATTATGCATCAAAAAGTAGACTCCTAAATATGAGCTTGACCTCTCCTTCAAAATTGTTGTACTTCTATAAAAACCCTCCATCACAGCAACTCTTATACAAGAAGCTAGCTGGTTTCACATATGTCAGGAAAAATAACAAACAATACCTTGAAGCACAATTTGAAGAAACAATTATTTAGGAAAAAAAGAAAAAGAAAAAGAAGAAACAATTTCCTTGATGCTTTAAGACAAACCTTGACACGCTCGCGTGAGATGCTCAACAGTCCGACCAACTGAGGTGCCAGCATCAACTGATTCAGTTTGAGACCTGAGATTGAAGCCTCACCAACAAGACCATGCGTAACACCGTTATCTTTCATTGGAACATCTTCCATATGCTTCCCAGATTCAAAAACTTGCTCATCGGTACCACTGAAAGGCTTGATAACCTTTCCTTGAAACCTTATCCTTCCAGTTGCTTTCAGATGCATGGGCCGTAGTGAATCAAAATTATATGAAGAGACTAAGCTGAAAAACTCAAAACCACGCATACGTAAATCCAATTCAACTCCTTCCACATTTAAGGGCATGGCAGCATTCACATCAGACTCTATCCTGTTTAACCAGTATTCATCAGGATAAGACGTCTGAACATTTGTATATAATTCAAAAGCCACCGATGAAGAGTTGACAATAATGCAATCATGTGAGATGATGATATCTCCCCGAGCATCACTGAATGATCCTTCTGCTTTTGGTGCCGCCCACTTGATGTCAAACCTCCTAAATTCAAAAACAATGGTGTATATAGATGACATATGATAGACATCCACATGTACGAAGGAAAAATTAGTTACCAATTATCAACAATTAAAAGACAGGTCTAGGATTCTTACGGTCTCAATAGGGATCCAGAAAGTTTTGTTTCACCATTCAGATCGCCTAATTTATGTGGCATTCGATGAAGATAATCAGGTAAATATCGATGCAAAATTTTATCAAAGCACAAATTTCCTGAAAAATTAACATCCATTGCTGCTTCATCCACCTCACCCTGCAATGGTATAATTTTTCAACATCAGGACACAGAAAATTAAGAAGAATATTACGAAATTACAGAATGTATATGTAATGTCCCAAAAATTAATAATAATAATTTTATAAATAAGCAGTAAATTGGTTTGGAAAGTTGACTGGCACTTGTCAAATATGCATATTATACACACATATATATGGTCACACCTATTAATTAAGGAGGGAAGAGAAAATTTTGAAAAGACAGGTGCAGAACCAATTGATCCTAAAGAGAGTGTTAGATTGTGTTTTGATTGTTTTAAGAATTATTTGGGTGGAATAGTAAAGTTATAGATTGAGATAATTCATAGAAACTGAAAACTTAAAAACCAGTAGGCTAAAATTCTCACCCACTGGTTAGTAAAACTAAGTCTGATCTTTTAAACATGAGTGCTAAGAGTATTTGATTTGATTAGGGTGATTTATTAATTCATTTTGTAAATTAATTAATGTAAACCAAGATTAATTATGTAATAAATACAGGAATAAGTTGTGAGATATTTGAAGATAACTGTGTTAAATATTGTTGAGTTGATAAGTATGTGATTTGGTGAAAATGCAAGTGCACTCAAACATTCGCATGTTGGAGGAAATGGAACAGTTTAGCTGTGATTGTCCACAGAGGGTCTATTTCAAGGTGGACATGAGTGCCTGCCTAGGTAGTATGAGAGAGAGAGAAAGGGCCCACCACTGACAGCTTTAGGTCTGGTCAGAGGATCTATGCTATGGTAGTGTGGCACCATCAGAATCAGCACCGTCTTATTCGTTTGCAACAATAGGAGCCCTTCCATTGACAACTTCAGGTTGGGTTTGCAGTGGAAGTTGAAGTTGGAGGTTGAAGGAGTTTTGCATTAAATTGCATTCATGACATGCATCACTTGCATTTAACAGTTGTTGCGTGTGCTTTAACATACTACTAATGTGATGCATTTTATTTGAACCTTTTGTGCTTGTACAATTAATACCTTGGCATTATATATATTGCTCACGTTTGTTTAAGTTACTGTTGCTTGAGATTTGTCAACAGACTTTAATGAAGTAAAAGATAAAATAAAATATTTAAAGCCTAAGAAGTATTCATAATTTCTCTAAGTGAGTCCAATTTATTATAATGATACTGCATATTAAATAGCGTAAACATTTATCTTTGTATTAAGAACATGTATATTTGCTTACTGGGCTATGTAGCTCATCCCACTCCTAACATTTTTCAGGTGTAGACTGTAGAGAAGAGGTGATGACATTGGTGATTGATCGCTTCAATTTCAATTGCATCATGTTTGCTTTGATTTCAATTGCATCATGTTTATTTTGCTTGTTTCATTTACTTCATATAGTGCGAAAAACATAAGAGATGTTTCATTCCATATCTTTAACTTACGTTTAAGCATTTTGTTACAATGCTGGGTTGTATTAAATGGGTGTTTGGGAAGTTTTTGCGCCTCCAAGTTATTGTTAATAATCGAATTTGTTTGGGCTATTGTATAATGAATGAGCTTGTGGGCAATTTAAACTGTTGTGAAGTATGTTTAGTTTGGTTAGCGGAATGTGTTAGAACCCTCGTGCAATTACTATAGTACCACGTGGTTTTGGGGCATGACAGTATTAGTTAGTTCATCACAGAACTTCCAAGACTATGGTCTGATGGGGAGTAAAATTGAATCATTACAATCATCAATCTTTATATTATGTAATTAATTATGAAACACTTGAAATAAGAAAGCTCGCTGCAACCACAAAAATTTTGCTTAATAGAATCAAAGATAACTAGGATCAAAGCCTATACAAAGAAGAAAAGGTTGTGCAACGAATAAACCATTAACGCTTTAATGTATCATAAATGCACACCAAACAACAAAGTCCAGCCATCCTAACAATAAGTAGAATCACTGGGAATGGAAAACAGCAGAAATTCAACAAATGAGAGAATATCAACACAAGGACAGATGTTGTATCACATATGACTACTTCCCATAGGTGTAGGATAGGATTTGAATTCTCTACATCACCAAACCCCAATTTACAGACCATTCAAACGCTAGAACTCCAGCACACATATATTTTAGCCAGACAGATTACACACAAAATGTAAGTCCAATTAATCAAATTGGTTTTACTTGTTCAATCTCAGAGTTTCTATTCACTCTACTTCCATTTCCACTCTACTACGCAAGTGAGCCCGGAATTTTCCCAACTGTTAAATGGTTACCCATAGATGGTTTACTAAACTTTGGTAATCCTCTAACTAGATCATGCTAGGAAGCCTAAGAACACCTAAAAGGTAAAAGAGTCCATATCGAACACGTGTCAAGCCTTCCCCGAGTGTCAGGCACACCAAAAGAACCCATTTAGAGAAACTCATTCAAGAATTTTAAGTTACGTTATTGAATCAAGTATCTCCGCATCGCATTTGGGTACTGTCAGAGTATCTAAATACCAAAGTTACACCCTCTCTCATAGCTTAAGCTTTTGGAGTAGGTGGTTAATATGGTATCAGATCAGGTAAGGTCCAGAGTTCAAACCTCACAGTCACCCTACTAATTAGTATTGAAACTCGTGTTCAACCAAAAAGAAGGCCACACAGTATTTATAATATTAAAGTTACACCCTCTCTGATAGATTAAGCTTTTGGAGTAGTGGTTAACAGGTAACAACCAGAAGAATGGCCCAAGTGATCCCTAAGCAACACACGTACATCAACAAAAGTTTCCTTTGAAGAACCTTAAGTATTCAAACATATTAGTGAAACTAGAGGTTAAAAGTAATATAAAAGAGAGAGTTTCAATTGCAATTCCAACACTTCTAATCATCAAAGTAGAACATACAATGAAGTATATATAAATGTACAAATCAATTCTAATTTTCAAACTTCCAAGATGCTAAATCATAATTATATGATTTTCCTTCTTCTCAAGAAAAAAAGTGCACATATTACTCTACAATTCACCAATCAACAGGATCAAACTATATATTGGCCCTCTAGGGCCTCTATGATTTTCCTCCTCCTTAAGAAAAGGATAAAGAGTGCACAAATAACTCTACAACTCCCCAATTGGCAAGATCAACCTAAATATTGGCTGTGGAGACCTTGTGAAGAGGCACTGCAGGATACTACACTGGGCGAGCTATAGGTGCACAATTCTACGTCGCCTAGGTGTGGAAAAGGGAAGTGCTATATACGTAAGATTTGTACACTCCAATTGGTACGAGGCCTTTTAAAGTAAAACCCAAGAACAAAATCATACGGGCTCGGGCCCAAAGCGGACAATATCATACCATGTGGTAGAGTAAGTCGTTACAAATGGTATTAGAGCTTGACCTAGCCAGAAGTGTGACCAATGAGGACGTTGGGCCCCAAGGGGGGGGGGGGGGGGGTGATTATGGCAACCTTGTGGGCGGGTGCAAGGGCACTGGCAAGCTACTACCACACTGGGCGACTTACAGGCACACAATCCCATATCACCTGGTTGTGGAAAGGGGAAGTGCCATATATGTAGGATTTGTACACTCCAATTGGTACGAGACCTTTTGGAGTAAAGCCCAAAAATAAAACCATGCGGGCTCGAGCCCAAAGTGGACAATATCATACCATGTGGTGGAGTGGGTCATTACATTGGCCCTCTAGGGCTCTAAATATAATACAAAATCTTAAAAGTCATAATGGGTTATGATTACCAAAAGAAAGTAAATATACATTTCAATAGCTTGAGATGGAATAATAAAAATTCTGTATCAAACCAACTCTATTGGGACAAGGCACATCAACTGATTGTGTTTTAGTCATGATTCGTCTTCTCTCACTTCTCTCAAAGAGTAATAAATCGAAAATATACTAAAAAAATGAAAAGAAAGCACTAATGAATCTACAAATGGTGTCTAATTCCAGCAAGACAGTTTATCTGACATACAATTAAGTACCTCGGGGCAAATCCATGCATTCCCTGCCCCACGAATTTCTCCACCGTCAACAAGGCTAGCTCTGATTCCATACAGATCAGCAACCTGTCACGTGTAAAGCGAATTGCACATAATGTACAAATATACAAATAAAATATAAAAAGCCATGTTCAACTACTGACATGCACACAAGATATCTATGGCTACTTACACAGTTATCAGTGTTGAAAGTGAAATTGGCAGAAATATATGAAAATGGAACACGGTCTATTGCTGCCACTGCCCCAACCTCTTTATTCTTCATCATTGCCTCAGTAGCAGCCGATGCAGGGAAATCAGAAACTGAATGAGCTATCTTCCTTGAAACCAATCCACTTCCCACAAATATAGGAGCATCCAAGGGACCTTGACAGTTGAATACAGCAGTCACAGAACCAGCCAACTGCAGATAATGAAGAAAGCAAAACTGAGATAGAAATGAACAAAAAATCTAAAATAAGCTCATGCCATTTTAATCTTTGAAAAACAAACAAGTATAAATTGGTGAAATTTTACAAAAGATGCACCACAAGTTTGCCTCCTGAGATTGTATTGGAGTTGTTCTTTTAAAAACTGATGCTGTGATGGCCAGTTGGTTTTTGCTCTTCAGGTAGTCTAGATTCTTAATCCTATGGAATAAACGCCATTACACAATGACAGTCCTGCCAAAGTGGGGTGCTGGGAGGGGTGGACTAGACGCAGGCCTACTTTCGATAAAATTTAGCACAAAGTAGCTGTTCTCAAACTCAAACTGACGCTGCCATGCCTATCAGCCCAAGTATTTTACCACTACAACCAAATGGCTCCCAATACTGAGCATAAAATGTGAGCTATTTAACACAGGCTCTATATCAAAGCTTGCCAAGGGTATAGGAAAGTACATGGCTAATTGTTTAAAAGGATAAAAACGGCCTAGGAAGAAAACATACTAAGTAGAATCCATAATAATGACTTGGAGCATTCATCAAGTATGTTGTTAAGGAAAGTAACATTATGGCGAACTCATTAGCAAAACTGGCATTATACTCTCACTGAATTGTTTTTTCAAGCAAAAAGGTACCGTTTCTCAGAACCTTCAAATTATTTAGATTTATAGACCAGATGGCCCAATTTCATGCTTGTTTTGTATCTTTGCTCAATGTAAGGTTTGTGCTTGTACAAATCCTATGAAATTTAAAGAGCTCATTAGGGTTTATCAGGATGTCTTATCCTCTTGAGCAAGAACTGAAATCAAAAGGACAAAAAGAGACCAGAGAGGTATCAGCACTACCAGACTTTTTTTCTTCTTCTTTTTTGCAAACCCAGTGCATAAGGCTCCCGCCGTTGCGGGGTCTGGGGAGGGTCAGACGTATTTGCAGACTATAAGACGTAAAACATGTAATAAAAAAGAGATACTCATACCGGAAACAACAAAGGTTTCATCTTGAAAGTTTTCATCAGAGCATTAACTTCAACACAGGGAACCTGGAAAAAGAATAACCATACACAGATTAACACATTGAAGAAAAAATAAATAAATAAATAAATAAAAACAAGAGGTGGAACAAATACAAACACACTTCAAAACATAGTTAACCAAAACAATCTTCCCCATGACGTATGGGGCTTCCCATGTTTCTTGCTTTCAAAAAAAAAATAGTTTCCCTTTAAATAAAGAAATCCTGCTTCAAACGCATGCTTTTTGTAATACATATACATGTGTGTGTGTTATCCTTCATTGCAATTAAATACATTTTAAGAAGTTATTTCGTCAAAGTTATAACCTTTCCAAACAGGTTTCGGTACCATGTCTCCCAATCCTTCTTTTTCTTTTTGACATTTGACATTCTTGCTTTCATCACCCATTTCATTTAAAATACACACTTCCAATTGGTGACTAGATCCAAGCACCAGTTCAAGCTCAAAGAAATATCAAACCACAATCCATTGCTGTAAGAAAGTTGACACATGGCCCTCTTGGCATAATTGAAACTATGAATAAGCACTGAAGAAAATATAATATATATTCACACGTGTTTGTGCACACAGTGATGGTACTGTCTCTCTTCCTGTAAGCATGATTGAACCTCCAAATTCAACAATTAAATTACAAACAGGCAAGTTAACATCAGCCAGTGCACATCCTTCCATATTTTGTTTCCAGCAGCAGCACTTTTTTTTGTTTCCCTTTTCCCTTTCGTTGGGGGTTTGGTAAAAAGTGAGGAGCCTAAGAGACTGCAGCCCATGTACATGTGACATCAAAAAAGAAAAAACTGAGTTTTTCAAGGATTGCCATTGAGTGATATTTAAGAAACTGAGTTGTATTTTCCTTTTTGCACTCTTGAGACATTTATTTCAGCCTTTTTTCTGTGCCAGCTGACAACAAATTCACTCTTAAGGCTGAGACTCTTACCCTCTTGAAGGGCCTCAAGCCTCAAAGAAGCATCAGCTACGAGATGGGGAAAGTGGTCCTGTTCATTATACAGACAGATTCTTGATCTGTGTATTGCTTTAAATAAATAAATAAATAATAATAATAATTAGCTGGATTCAGTAGCTTATGAACTGGCCAAAGTGGAACCATACACTTTGGAGTCCATTTGGGGCACCTCTACTATCCTTAAGTAGCCTTTTGTGGGTCAGCATTGAGAAGGGTTCCTTCCTCCAGTTTTGAAATTTTTCGTTTATCTCTTCTCTGTTTGGGTGCTTTAATTTAGATTTCTGTTCCTTCCATTTAGAAGGATTTCTCATCCTTCTCTATTATATCCTTATCCCTTCTTCTAAAAATATTTTTCATTCTTATCAAAATGTGAGTTACTTAGCTAATCTCCATACTTTTTAATATAATCGATTTCTTTAACTTGTTCCTCAACATTCAGTGGTGGTCCTCAATGGTCCACCACATTAAAGCTCAACCCAGATCATAGCATGTTCTGAACTGATCAATATTCCCTTCATAAGAATAAAAAAAAAGAGGTTGATCAATATTAGGTAATGACGATCAGACATTATCTATCCTTCAAGCAATTGTGGAAGGGAGAGAGGTTGCAGTTACCAATTAAGTTATGAACACGAAGCCTTTATCATCTTGGAAAGGAGTACAGGAGATAAAGAATCTCATTTCTAAAGTCAACTACGAAGGGAAAGGAGGAGTGGCGAAGGAAAGGGGAAGAACCAGGAGCAGGAGTCTCAAGAAGGGTGGAGGAGAGATTATTTTATCTGGTTTACAATGAAGCTACGAATCATTTCATGGAATGTTCGTGGTCTTAATGATCCGAACAAGAGAAGGGTGGTGAAGGTAGCCTTAAGGAAGTGGGGTGCCCAACTTGTTTGCTTACAAGAAACCAAGTTGGCATCCATTACTGACAAGGAGGTTAAGAGTTTGTGGGGAGGAAGGTTTGTGGAATGGGAGGCCTTGAATGCTATAGGTTCTTTGGGTGGGATTTTAGTTATGTGGGATAGTAGGACGTTAACTCGAACAGACGTATGGATGGAGAGATTTTCTGTATCTTGTATGCTTAAGATGGAAGAAGACAACTTCAAGTGGGTTTTTACTGGAGTCTATGGACCGGTTGTTGATGATGAGCGACCTATCTTTTGGGAGGAGCTTTGTCATGTCCAAGGATTGTGGTCTTTCCCTTGGTGCTTGGAAGTGGATTTCAATGCTATTAGGTCCCCGTCAGAGAGGTCTACAGGGGGAAGAAGATCTTTGGAAATGGATCAATTCTCTGATTTTATTGATGAGCATCTTCTTGTTGATTTACCAATGGAAGGTGCAGCTTATACTTGGTCAAATGGCAGGGATCCAATCACTCTTTCAAGGCTAGACAAATTTTTAATTTCCTGGGATTGGGAAGAGAAATTCCCGGATGTTGTTCAAGCGGTGTTAGAAAGGGTCACCTCTAATCATGTTCCTTTGGTCTTGGATTGTGGGGGTTTATGTTCTCAAAGATCCCCTTTTAGATTTGAGAATATGTGGCAGCGTGCGGAAGATTTCCAAGGGAAAGTCAGGTCTTGGTGGGAGGAAGTTATTGTTTCAGGATCGCCCAGTTTCACAATTACAAAGAAGTTAAGGGCTCTCAAATTAGCTCTAAAGCAGTGGAACAAGGATGTCTTCGGGAATTTGGAATGGAGGAATAATAGAGTACTTGCTGATTTATTTGAGATTGATCGTCTTGAGGAGGCGGGAGGGGATGTGGAATTTCTACGATCCAGGAGAGCCTCTTGTCAGGCGGTTTTTGCTGAGATTGCTAGTATGGAGGAGATCTCATGGCGACAAAAATCTCAGGCTCTTTGGCTAAAGGAAGGTGATCGGAACACAAAATTCTTCCACCGGTTAGCTAACGCTCATAGGAGGAGTAATCATATAGGAAGAATTCGGGTGGATGGTGAGGAGTTGTGGAGAGAGGAAGAGGTGCGTAACGGTATTGCTTCTTATTATCAAAAGCTTTATACTGAGCCTTTAGTCTAGAGGCCCAAACTTGATGGTCTCCATTTTGAGGCTATTTCTGAGCTTGATAGAGATAGGATTGAGAATCCTTTCACTGAAGAAAAAGTTCTTAAAGCTTTATCAAGTTGTAATGGGGACAAAGCTCCGGGACCTGATGGCTTTACTATGCGATTTTTGATGAAAGTTGGGCAGTTGTAAGAAATGAGGTAATGGGTACTTTTCAGGAGTTTCATTCTTTTGGCGTTTTTGAGAAATCGCTTAATGCTTCATTCATTGCCCTTATCCCAAAAAAGGGAGGTGCTTCAGATATAAAGGATTTTCGTCCTATTAGTTTGGTGGGCTGTATTTACAAACTTATTGCTAAGGTACTTGCTTTAAGGATGAGGGAAGTTATGGATGGGATTATTTCGGATTCCCAGAATGCTTTTGTAAGCGGACGGCAAATTCTTGATTCAGTCCTTATTGTTGGCGAATGTGTGGATTCCAAATTGCGGAGTAGTATTCCTGGAGTTTTATGCAAACTTGATATTGAGAAAGCATATGATCATGTGAATTAGAATTTCCTACTCTATTTGTTACAAAGAATGGGGTTTGGAAGTAAATGAAGGAAGTGGATTGAGACCTGTCTTTTGTCTGTCAAGTTTTTAGTTCTCGTGAGTGGTTCTCCCATTGTTTCTTTGACGGCTCTAAGGGTATAAGACAAGGAGATCCTTTGTCATCTTTCCTTTTTCTTGTTGTTATGGAGGGGTTAAGTAGACTTATGCACAGGGCAGAGGACCTTGGCTTTATAAAGGGTTTCAGGGTGGGTAGAGATTTAGTCCATCAGATGGAGATTTCTCATTTACTCTTTGCAGATGATACCCTGATTTTCTGTGATGCTGATGTGTCTCAACTTCGATACTTGAGGTGTGTTTTGACTTGTTTTCAGGCAGTTTCCGGGTTAAAGGTCAATGTAGCTAAGAGTGTGCTTGTCCCAGTAGGGAATGTTCAGGATATTTCCTCTTTAGCTACAGCCATTGGATGCAGGGTGAGTTCTTTCCCTATTCCTTATTTGGGTTTGCCCCTAGGGGTCTCTTCAAGGTTAGTGGGGAGTTGGGATTCCGTGATTGACAGGTATGCAAAGAGATTGGTAGGTTGGAAGAAGCAATATTTGTCAAAAGGGGGTAAAGTTACTCTTATCAAGAGTGCGTTATCGAGCCTTCCCACTTATTTTCTTTCTATGTTCCAAATCCCTTGTTCCGTTGCAGATAGGATTGAAAAAATTCAAAGGGATTTCCTTTGGGGAGGAAAGGGCGATGAGTTCAAGTACCACCTTGTCAGATGGGAGGAAGTTTGTAAGCCCGTGAAATTGGGTGGACTTGGAATAAGACGTTTAGTTACTTTCAATCAAGTTCTCTTGGGTAACTGGTTATGGAGATATAGGAGGGAAAGACAACGTCCATGGTGCAGGTTAGTCTCTTGTTGGTTTGGGGAAGAGGCTGGAGGTTGGTCTACACGTCCGGTTACCCTGGTGGGAGGAGTAGGGATGTGGAAGGCTATTCGGAAGGGATGGGATGTTTTTTCGGCTCATATCAGATTCAAACTCCGTGATGGTCGTTGCATTCGATTTTGGGAAGATCTCTGGTGTGGGGATCAGCCACTTTCTCGTACATTTCCTAGATTATTTAGTATTGCTGTTGATAAACACGCCTACGTAGTTGATTGTTATCGGCTTGATAGCAGCGGGATTATGTGGGATGTGCATTTTCGGCGCTCTTTTCAGGATTGGGAGATGGACGAGATATGTGTTTTTCTGGATCTTCTGTATCGGCAGGAGGGTGTTGGCAGAGGTAATGATGTTTTAATTTGGGCTCCTTCCCATGGTCACTTCGAAGTTAGATCCTTGTTCTTATGGTTGTCAAATTTTGTTAATCGAGACTTCCCGTGGAAAACTATTTGGCGATCTACGGCTCCCACTAGGGTGGCTTTCTTTGTTTGGAATGCTATGTGGGGAAAGATTCTGACAATTGATAATTTGAGAAAAAGGGGCAATTGTATCGTTAATCGTTGTTGTCTATGCAAGGATGATGAGGAGTCCATTGATCACCTCTTTTTGCATTGCCCTGTGGCGAATGACTGTTGGAATTCTATTGTTGGGTTGTTCGGCATGTGTTGGGTTATGCCACGATCTACTAAGGAATTAATTCATGTCTGGAGAGGTTGTCAAGTGAGAAGAGACGTTCACGATTTCTGGAGAATTGTACCACATTGTGTATGATGGTGCATTTGGAAGGAGAGAAATAGTAAAATGTTCGAAGGGAAAGAGTCGTCCACGACAATGGTCAAACTTTACATTCTTCGCTTTCTTTTCAATTATGTGAAGAGGAACTTTTGTTCTTCTTCTGATGATTTAATTACTTTCTTGGATTCTTTGGGACCTTAGTCTCGGTTCCAATTTTGTAATTGGGACGCGTTCCCCTTTTGAACACCTTTTTTAATGTTATTTTTACTTATAAAAAAAAAAAAGAATAAAAAAAGAAAAAGAAAAAGGAACATCCAAAAGTTAAAAACATATTGACATTCAAACTGTTCATATCAGTGACATTTAAGGCCACTGACAATTTCTGCGAAGAAGTTGCCATATATTCTGGAATAATCCATCAATCAGCTTTGATACAGATCAGGCCCCACTGCACTGGAATATCCTCTACACTCATGCCTTGTTTTTATTTATTTTTTTAATTTTTTTGGGAGTGGGGGGGTGTAAATGGTAAGTGTTATAAAGAACGGGGAAAATGTACATGAGGGCTCCGAAGAGCCAATACAAGGCATAAGCCATAGCCCACGGCCGAATTTCCCATCAAACAACAACCAAAATTCAATTTGATCTCAGGGCCACGTCTACAAACCAAGTAAGATACCAAGTTCTCCATATGTATATAAACGGACTGATTCCATTTCCCCGTGTGAAAGATACCCAAGCACTAGAGCAACTTATAAGAAAAGACCATACCTGACACATAAGATGGAACTCTCCTTCCTCAGGATGAATGCCAAAATCTCCAGAAGCTTCTAAAGGAACATTGCCAAACCAGCCACTTGCATTGTGCAAAAATATTCGTTGACCACGAAAACATAAACTTGCTGACATGTCCTGCACAGAATAAATAAATCAACCACGGAGGCCAACAAACTTCCAAACAAGTTATAGATATTGACTATGAGATAAAAATCTAATATGATGTACAGCAGCTTTAATGATTCTTTAAAATATCAGTTAAAGCCCACCAATGCATAAAGGAATTAAGATCACAAAAAACCAAACCAAAAAAATACTCCAAAGTGATAAATTATAGAGTTTTGCTTCTTTTTGGTAAGATATGGAGATGCAATAATTGTTACCATGAAACAAAAATTCAGAGAAGCATCGAGACAAAAAATAAAGATAAAACAAAAAATTAGCATTTGAAACAAGGGGTGAGTGACGTATGGAGCAGGTATGGCGCTATAGAGCTTCATAGTAAAATCAAACCAATAGGAAAAAAGAAAATACATTATTTCACTATGCCAACATGGCAATTCCTGCAGAATTAACACAACTTCTGCTAAAACTTCTTGTGATACTTCCAGTGACATTGAAATTTGTGGCACATAAAGGAATTATTTCAGACAACTTTCTCTCATCTAGCCCTCGTTGGTGGCACTGGACACTTCTCACAAGTCATAAATGCCACGGATATCAAATCGGATCCTTCCTTGTCCGGCCAGTCATCAATTTCAACATCCTCATTTCAGCTCCGCTCCTTTATGGATATTTGTTGGAATCAGATTTTTTATTGACTAAATCATAAAGAATAAATTGTGCTGTAAATGTCCCATAAAATTTTCTTAGTTACTTATTTCATTCATAAAAGAATATGCCAAAATCCCTTCTCCACTCAATCCACCATTCTTTAATGCATGACCAATATCCTCTCCAATCTTTGCATCCTAAGTAAGATTAATCTAATATAACCGAACCTCCTAAAAAAAAATTCTCTATTATTCCTCATCAAGATCAGGTGATGAAGTCAAGTTCTAGGAGTTTATGATGTGGGGAGTCCTAGGAGGACACTTAAAGTAAATTCACTGTTAAGGATCCAAAAATAAAATCCCTCTCATCTTCAGTATTTTTCAAAGAAAATACAAAAATTCAAGGTAAGTATTTTTCAAAGGAACCCCAAAGATAGGAAGTATCTTCCCTCCTTTTGTCTGGTTGAGCAGGTCGGAAAAGAAGGAAGGAATGCTTAATTTTACCATCGTGGCCTGACATATAAACAATGGTGTTATTTTGAAGGAAAAAAGCCAAAAATATATAAAAATACTTTACTTTCCCTCCTCATTACAGCCCACTTTTGGATGCAAAGAAAATGATGATCAAGGAGAGAGAACTCCTCCATCCTCCTTTTCTTGCCATTCCATTTCCTTAACAAAGAAGGAATCCTCCCATCTCTTCCCTTCCTAACTAGTTTCTTTCTCACACTCTCTTTTCACACCAAAAAGACTGTAAAGAAGAACAGTACATAAAAAGGATAAGGCATCATTCAAAGAAAAACAAGAGAATTGCTAAAGGAGAGGAAACAATATGATATAGAATGACACTCCTCCCTGTAAAAGAAGGAAAAGTTACTTTGAAAAATTGTTAAAAAAATTCTCTAGGAAGTTCAAGCTTAGAAGAATATGGTAACCTTAGGAAGAATATTGAGAATATATTTTATAATAGAATCAAGAAGTGCAAGGTAAAAAAATGTTTAGGAAGATCAAGTCAAGAAGGACTTTAGGACCAAATGGCATTCTTATTAACATCTGAAAGTGTTTAAGGTAGGAGTGCACAAAAAACCAGTGGATCTGAAAAACCAAACCGAACCAAACTGGACCGGACGATTCCGTCCAATTTTTAACGATTCAATACAGCCATGGAACGGTAAAATTATGGTTCGGTTCCGGTTTGAGGACCGAACCGAACCATTTTATTACTTTTATATATATATATATATATATATATATATATATATATATATATATATTATATCATAACTCTAGAAGTCTCTTTCCACATTTCATTTCAAAGTTCAGTTCTCACGCAACTGTTACCGCCGCGACCTCCTCCTCCACTCTCACGCAACCTTCGGTCATCGCCGTCGATCCTCCCTCACTGTCGTTGATCCTCTCTAAACTTGGTGCAATTTCTCTCTAAATTTCCCTACATCTTGGTATATATATGCACATGACTATACACACAATATATAATATGCATACTATATATATATATATATATTTATATCTTTGTGTATAATACAAAGTTTGGGGTTAAAGGGTTTACAATTGCGCAAGCCAGAAGCCCTAGAAACAAACAATCGAGAGTTGGGAACATGCTTGGTATTGGAATTACATAACTTTCATTAAAGGGGCAAAGCCGAGCTAGTCACATCTCATACTGATTCACAATTGGTGAAACCCTAGAGTCACAATGTATGTACATCTCTTTCTTCCATGGTTCTGATTTTTCCTTTTCTTTTTTTTCTTCTTCTCACTTAATTATCTTCAAGATAGAACCGTGGAACCAAACCGGTCCCTCATAGTTCGGTTCCATTAGTCTACATGTCCAGTTTGGTTCCAATTTTTGTGCAACCGTTAGGACCGGTTTGGTTCCAAAATACTCCAAACCAATCCAAACTGAACCATGTGCACCCCTAGTTTAAGGTATGATGGCGTGTGTTCACTAACAAAATTGTTCATAATAACTAAGAGACTATGTTAGAAGTGGTGCAGAAGTATTCAGTCAATGCATGAGTTGAATGTCTCTAATCATCTGAGGAGAAAATCCTTGCGAGAAAAAAATTCCAAAATTATTCAATCTTGGGTTTCCATATATTCCATCATACGTGATTGAGTGTTCATCAAGGAGAAGTTCAACGAACCAAGCCAACTCAACCGTCCAACTACTAGAGCAGAAACGGCCAGTAATACTAAAGAAGCAAATTCATGAGAAGCGAAGTCTGCAGGCGAGTGAGCTAACAGATGGCTTGGAGACTTTCGAGGAAAGTTTGGCGTCGTCTGTGTTTAGAGTTAACTAGGGGTTCTAGGGTGTGCAAACTGTTAACCTGGTTGTCATCTCTTCCTCATATAGTGGATTGGGCCTGACTATACTAGGCCCCGTGGTTTTTCCCTTTTCTATTTTCCAAGTAAAAGTCCATGTGCCTCTGGTCTACTTTACTTTCTGTTTGTTGCATGATTATGAGTATAATTTATGGAAACTAGAAATTAACGAGAATTTAAATATCAATATTCACATACTTTATTTCAAATAGGAACAATGAAAATTTTATAATTAAAAGCAAAACCCCCCACCCTTTTCCTCCTCTAGGTCAAACTCACCGCTCATACTCTGGCACATCAGAGCCTTGGGTTATGGTCTTACGGTTTTATCAGAAGGGAAAGACCAAAATTAACTAGAGTATAATTAGTAAGAAAATATATAACAACATGTGGCTTGACTGTGGCTATAGCCTTGGAGCATAATGAAAAAAATTGAATTCATGTTGCGCTCCCCCACAAAGATAGAGAAAAGGCTTTGTTGAGTTAAGTTGAGAATTATAATTTTCTCCATTATTGGGTCCCTAACAATAAACCCCTGATTTAAATATAAGGTAGAGGTCTAGCCTTGTATGCATAAATTTTCCAATACCCGGACACCAGAACCGCTATACTAAATGGCATGCACGATGCTTAGAATATCATTGGAGCCATCCCAAATCCGACCCTTCACCATATCTATACCAACATTGCCCGTACATCACCGAGTGAGATAAGCCATCTAAATCACATAAATATAACAATAATGAAACAGAATACAAAAAAATACAGTTTGAATTGTATCCTGTCACCAAACAAAATAAAATTTCTTTCCCAACTAGAACCCACATTATACTAAACATATATATATATATATATGATAAGTATTTTACGAAATATAACCACACTGAAAGACAAATCGCCATGGAAAGAGAAAGATGCAAGCATTTCAAAACAGATGAAACGAGGGCATACAGAAAACCACGATGGAGCGTCAAATATTTGAAAGGCCAACCCTGTCACATCAAGCTGCCCGTGAAGATTAGGAAAATTTTCCCCTCTTGACATGCATATGTGAACCTGTAAACAAATAAAATACATAAAAGTTAAGAAGGATGAGTAATTTAAAAGTAATCAGAACATGAACGAGGTATTAAATCTGCAATTGCAAACAGAAACAATTATAAAAAATATTGAATAACTTGTGTGAAGAAAATGAAGATGCATAACAAAAATGGCAACCTTCGTAGGTGTAAAACAAAAATACTTAATATGTAGCCTGGTAAATTGGAAAAAGGGACGAACCCATTGATAAAATATTTTCAATTATTGAAAATTGATGTAGTCATACAAACTCAAGAATCCAGGAGAATCTGTGTGACTCTGAAATGAAAAGAAACTAATCAATGTGTATAGTAAGCCAAGTTTGCCTTCACTTTCGTAAAAAGTCATTTCTAGTGGCTTGGTTATATTGTTGTTTAAAATCAATATCTAAAGCAAAAATTGGCTCATGCATGGTTCAAGGATCTCTCTTCTTTTTCTTCCTTTCTCCTTTTGTGAGCACTTCAATAACTCCCCTATCAAAATTAATGAAAACAATTTTATTAAAAACAGAAATGCTAACAATGATAATAATGACAGAAACAAAAAAAATCAATAATTTTTTACTAAAGTGAAACAATATACATAAAAAATAAATAAATAAATAATAAAAAATAAAAAATAAATAAGAAAGAAAGAAAGTTCACAACACTATTTTTTCAAACTATCAAAATGGATCCATAAATCTAAATATTTGGCTCTTAAGGGTTTCACATTCTCAACAACCTACAGATTTTAATATCAAACTGGTATAATTCAAAATATAGATTTCAACAAGATGTACTTTGAAAGATGGCATCAAGAGTTGAACCACATTGCTTCTCTTTGCAACAAAAGAATTTCCTATTTGCATTTATGCAGCAAATTCTAGATGAAGATGCATATCTCCCTGCGTAAAAGTCTCCCTAGTCCTGATAACACATTTTAGGCGAAACACGGAAAAGCAGAAGATTCACACATCAAGCTTTAGGAGTTGGAGGTGCAGATGTTCATCAGAGCCTTATTGAGTAAGTAGCATTGGACGTATTGGTGGAGAGGGATAGGGTTTGGAGGAGGGTGTTCAATGCAAGGTGGGGGAGGGCACGGGTGGGTGGTGCTCAAAGGAGGTGAGGTGTTAAGCAGGAGTTACGGTTTGGAACTTCATTCTGAAGGGGTGGAATTAGTTTTCCAAACATATTTGGTTTAGGGTGAGGAGCGAAAGGTCTATTCTTTTCTGGGAGGATGTTTGGTGTGGGGATAGATCGTTGGCATGCACATTCCCGATATTACGCTGAATAAGTGGACCTTGGTAGTTGACTGTTATCACCTTGATAATGGAAGGCTGACTTGGGACATTCAACTTGAAAGACAAGTGTAGGATTGGGAGGTGGTGGAGTTGTTGGCTCTTTTATATGGCCAATAGTTGAAGGGAGCAGGGAGAGATGAGGAGAATTGGAAGGGCACTCCTTATGTGAGGTTCGTGGTCAGGTCTTTTAACATTCTATTTGGAAGGAGCATCCTCGAGGCTTGGAGAGGCGGAGGCTATATAGTTGGTGAACAGACCCGATACGCTTTGAGAGTTGCGCCCCTTTGCTTATGGTGGAGGTTGTGGAGAGATATAGGAGATCATTTGGTTGCATTAACATTCTATTTTGTCCATGTTATTCTTTTGATTTAAAAGGAATCATTCTAAATCCATAGAGGATATAGTCGAGTTTGTGGATAACTTGAGAGCTTAAAGGGTTTTTTGTCCTTTCGATGATGTATATGGGACACTCCCCATTTGAGTGCTTTCTTAATATACTTTACCTATTAAAAAAAAAAAAAAAAACCCATAGTGTAAATTTAAGATCCAGATAAAGAGTGAAGATATTTCTTTCTTGCAAAATCTATGAGAAGTACATTAACATGTGAAAATTAAAACCAGTGAGAAAAATCCGAATATCAATGCAGATTTTTAACACAGAGAATAGAATGCATGTATAACAGCAATTTTAAAAGCAAACCTGTCGTTGGTCAACCTCAAAGGGCTGGTACAAGCAATATTCTAATAACATTTCACTAAAGAAGGATGAATCAAAGTAAGAGATGCACCTCACCACTAGCTCTCCCTTTAGACCATGCAATTGGAATTTCTAAAATCCTTTCAAAGAGCTGCAAAAATGACAAACAGGACGCAAGGCACGTAAAATGATCCATACAAATGTTGCACATAGACAAAAGCTTCAGATCATTTCATATTGTTTGCAAATTTCTATAGAACCGCACCGGAACAAACAGATTTACAACTTTCAAATTGGCATGCCATTTCTGCTCAACAATATCAACAAAAACATCTGAAGATAACCATCCACCATCTTCAAATGGTACATCTGATCCCCACGTCATACAGCTTCCACTCAGCTGTACGTGCAAACGACCATAGTGATTTTGAAACTTGACATGTCCATTGACATTCTCCATCACTCTATAAAAAAGTCATACAAAGAACATAAACGCGAGATATAATGCATATTAAAATTTCAAAAATATAAAACTTCACCCTCCACCATTTGTGTTAACACTTCAATTCTAATAAACAAATATAAAATTATATAGAAATACTAAGTAAATCATTTTTAACTATTTAAGCGATAAAGCTAGTTCTCATACCAGCTACAAAAGTACGATGACAAGGCTACAAGCCAACTTCAACCTAGTTTGATAGCAAGAACATATGCCAATGTTCTTGTTAGACGAAGACACAAAGCCAGGGAGAGGAAATCTAAATGTACAAGGAGCAATTGACAAGATGCATAGATTGAACATAAAGCATATCTTTTTTTACACTATAGATTACTACAGATACAAGGATGATGAACTGATGAAGAGTGTGATACGAAGAAAGAGGACCAATTGGGGATTTCAGTCTAGAGCTAGCTTGGGACCTAACATGATCAAAATTGTGGGAATGTGTTGCGACATTAGCATGGAGATTCCCTTATTCGTTTCTGTATTCAGTCTCAAGAGTGTTAAAAGGCCTTCATAAGTGGCCACGAGTATGATTGAATTAGTCTTATAGATCAAAGTTCCTAAAATTCTTAAATTAAAGATTAAGTATTACAACTAGAAGCGTATATACTTCTGTACTCTCTCAATCTGAGTGATTTCATATCAGAGGTAAATTTCTTCTTTTTTCTAATATATAAATAAGATGAGTGAATTTCACAATCCATCTTACGGATTTCAAATTCACAAACAATTCAAAAGAGATCTCTACAGCCCTACATTGCATATCTATAGTTCATAATCTAGAAAATTACATTAAAGGAAATTATTTAGAGACCCAACAAGGTTTTAAGAAACTATAATATAACAAATATTACGAGTGGCCTACTTTTTCTTTTTTCTGGGTGGGGACGAATTGGGTTTGATAAGTGACCTATTAGTTTAACGACAAAGCAGATAAGATCAAGCATTGGTTATTATCTAAGAATCACACACACTTCTACGAAGATACCGTGTTCGTGTCCGACACCGACACTTCATGGACGCTCCTGGACACGTGTCCGACACTTCATGGACGCTCCTGGACACGTGTCCGACACTTCATGGACACTCCTAACATGTGTCCGACACTTCATGGCCATAACCAAAATTTAAAAATAATTTTTATTATTTCGGACACTTGGCCGACATCTTGGACACTTCGCCAACATCTCTCATTGGACACTTAGTCAATATATTCCCGACACTTGGCCAACACATCCTTCACTCTATATTATATAAACAAACACTTGATATCTTGGAGACAATATTATGAACATATGTAAAGTGTCAATCGTCTTTTTCTCTACAAAATTGACACTAAACACATGTCACAGTATGTAATGAACAAAAACATAACTATATGACAAAATAGGAGAGTAATATGATATTTTTTTGATAAGTAAATTGTATTAAAAGCGTTCAAAAAGGGGAACGCGACCCAAACTATACAAAGACAAAACGGAGCCTATGAATTCAAAGAACTCATAAAGTCAACAATCTCCTCAAGAGAGGAGTAGACTCTCCCCTGACCCCAACAAAACAAATTACAAATGATAGAAAATTTTAACACCCCAATGGAGGATTCCTTTCCTTCAAAAGATCTTCCATTACGCTCTTTCCTTCAAATATGATATAAAATATAATATTTTTCTTATTCGAATAATTTCGTAGTCTTACATAACTTTAGTATAAAAATAATAAATTAATTAAAATTATATACTCCCTCTGTCCCACTTTAATTGTCATAATCAATAGATATATAAATGAAAATTTATATTTATATTAGTTGGTAGAGAACAGTGGCATCAGCCTTTTAAAGTATTTAAAAGGCGTGGCAAGACGGATTCTAGAGCTCAAACCTTTATTTGGCACATGCTAGATGATGGGGTCCACTTGGAGTCTTGCATAATTAGGGAGTTTGGTCAAATTGCATTAGTTTGGTAATGGAATTAATTATGGGAATCTGCATCATTTTGGTAAATTGCATTATTAGGGGGTTTGGTCAAATTCCATTATTTTGGTAATTGCATTAATTATGGAAAATCTGCATTGTTTTGGTAAATTGCATAATTAGATTAAATTGCATCAATTAAGTTATTTGTTACTTTATTAAGTTTTAGTCAACTTTTGATTACCTCCATTGTAGGGTAATCCAAGGGTCATCTTTTATTATAAAAAGGATACTATGTAACTCTGAATACTAGCGAATGATTGAATAAAATTATCCTTTGAGATTTCTTTGTGAGTGATTCACAAATTCTGAGGGTGTGAGGCCTTCTCTAGGTGTGATACCTAGGCCCTATGGGAGTGATTCCAATAAGTTTTTCTTTGTTAATTTCAATCCTTCTTTTCTACTAACAACCCCCGAATCTTAGCTTTGTTTCTGAATATCCAGCCCATAACTCTTATTTACTTTCTTCTATTTGAGCCTGTCCTTTGTCCTACATCATTAGTGGTGTCCATATTGCGTTTGTGTCTTAATTTTTTAGAATTTGACGTGTCAGCATCCATGTTGTATCGTGTTCATGTCCATGCTTGTTAGGTTGTTTACAAGGCACATGCCTCAAGAGTGCAAGGCACGCGCATTGTTAGCATGTTTTGAGAAATGACCCCCGAACTCTGTCAGTCATTAGATTGATATGCATCTTATACTTTTATATTTTTATTTTATATTTTTGATAAGCAAGGTAAATTCATTAAAGGGTGCCAAAGGGGGCGCAGTTTATGTATAGAGGTTCGCTAAGTATATGCCAAGTACCTCTAGTCTACTCCACTAAGAAAGGGCTTTGATAATCCAAGTTCTTCACAAACCAAAAATACTATCTAGGGACGGATTTACCTTCCCTATAGTCCAACCAACAAGCCTTTTTTCTGAACTACTTGGGGTCGGTGATGTAGAACACTTTTACAGTGTTTAGTAATTTTTTATTTTAGGTTTCTTATTTATGTTTAATTTATATTTATTTATAGGAAGTTTAGTTTTAATTAATTTCTTTTAGGAATTATTTTCCTTTTACTATTAGGTTTCTTTATGTTTTAGTTTTCTTCTAGAGTTAGGTTTCTTTTAATTAAAAATATGCATACTGCCAAGTGCAAGAAAAAAAAAAAAAATTATTCATTCAATTATCAAATAATATATCAGATTTCTTTGAAACTATCTCTTGTTTTGTGGATTCAAAACACCCACCTTGTGGATTTAAGGTAACCTGTTCCTCGTGAACAAATTTGTCTTTTCCTGGTCTGATGGCAGGTGATCGTTTTCGTGGCAACCTCGTTGGCGGCGAAGATTGACAAAGAGTGGCTCCTTTTAGGGCCGAATTTCAAGAACCCAGCAAACGTTGCAAGATATTCAAGCAATGCTTGCTAGGCTTGAGTTGGAGCAGAATAGCGATAACAACAGGTTTCGCAATGGCGACGTAGATCGTGTTCAACTTGTTCGTAATCGCAACCCCTTCCCTCCGCATAGTCAATTAGCCTATGAGGAAAAGGTGTTTGGGGAGATATCATGATTATGGGAATTATGATTCTAGGAATTTTCCTCCTAGAAGTTTGATGGTCTCTTTCATGTTGAAAATTTTCTAGATTGGCTAGAAGATGTTGAGAGGTTCTTTGATTACATGGGGATTCCAAAGGATAAGAAAGTGGCAATTGTCGCATACAAATTGAAGGGAAGAGCTTTTGTTTGGTGGGATCAATTGCGGGTAACTCGTGCACAACAAAGAAAAACACCGATACAGTCTTGGTTGAAGATGAAACGTCTTTTAAAAGCCAAGTTTCTTCCACCTTACTATAAGAAGTGTGAAGAGATCCAATTTCAGCCGTACCAGGATTATCAGCTGAGGTTTACAAAGGTTCAGACCTATACCGATTTATCGTTGTCTTCGAAGCCTCGACCTCCTCCTACAATGGTCAAGTTCACACACGAAGAAATTACGAGAAAAGTTGTATGCATTCAAAAATTAGAATCTATTCAGAAACTAAACCCCCAAGAAAATTGCCTAGCAGAGGAGAAGCATGATAAGAGAATCTTAATTGAGTTGTCACCACATATATATGTGGACAAGGCGGGGTTACATGAGCATGATGACAAGTTATTCAGTGACGATTCCAGCCACGAATCTATGCGGCAAGCAAAGGCTGTCAAAGAGAAACCCACTTCGATCATGCTGAAGACAAACACAACTAATGGGATGGAAACCCTAGTTTAAAGGATAAGGATGAGAATAATTTGGAAGAGCTTGAATGTGGCAATTTGATGAGGTTTGGATTTTAATCGAAGTAGGAGAGTTACAGCCCAACACCAATGAGCAATCAGACTCGGCAATTGGAATCCATGTTCTTTCTAAAATCAATCCTAATTTTGGCCAGCTTAATTCTTTTGAAGAAGTTCCAAAAACACCAATAAATCATTCACTGGATTCTCCTTTGTCGTTGACAACGTCCTCTTCCAAACAATACGTATTTCATGACCCATATTTGAAGGATGAGGAGAAGCTTGAAGAGTTGAAGGTGACAGTATCCTTGAGTCGAAAATACCATGTGTGCAACCTCTTGATCCTTGTTTGACGTATATTCAAGAATTTAATTGCAACATTGAAGCAAGAAATGTTTCCAGATTTTATTCTCAATGCACTACTACAATTATTAATGGTGTCCAGCAGAATAAATGTGGGTTTAACAAATACAATTCTGAACCTATCTGCCTTGCCAATCTTGAGATCAACAGCACACGTGGATCAATGAAAAGTTGTATAAGGGAATTTGAGAAACTTCAGAATGTCAACACAAATTTCAGAGCATGCAAGACTATCCCAGTGGCAAAATCAACATTGAAAAGAATAAGCAAAGTCATGGTGAGGAGATATTTAAGGTTCTTGGGTCCCACCATAGGTTACTCCATCATGAAAATCAATGATCTCACCAATGATCAACTCATTG